CTTTCTTTTTCTTTTTCTTTTCTTCTTTTTTTTTTGTCTTATTATTTTTTTGACCCTCAGACCCTCCCCTCATCCCTCCATCCCTCCCTCTCACATTTCATCATTTTCCCATCCCCTTTTTTCCGTGTTCTTTGTGATTGTGTTTGATTGTTACCAGAACCCACTCTCTACACTATACCCGAACGGCTTTCTTTCCCACTGCTGTTAGTCTGCCCGTTTTCGGATCATTCGACGAGTTCATCTTCGTCCTTTTTCTTTTCTCTTTATTTTTTTCTTTTCTATTCCTCTGCATTCCTTCCCCCAGTCCATCGCCGACCATAGCACAGGAGGATTAGAGGGAAACCGAAGAAACATCAAGGGGAACCCCAAAAGAAGTGAAGAAAAAGAAAAGAAAATTTAAAGACCCAGAGGGCAATTCAATCCACCGGGAGCATTCTTGAATTGCTTTGTCCGGAGTATCGGTTGCCTTCCCAACTTTCGCTTAACCGACGCGATTTCACCCCCCCGAACTCTTTGACCCTCTCTGCTCTCCTCCTCTCCTCTATCCATTATCTCTGTCCTCACCCCTGGATTGTGCCTGAGCATCGTTGCTACTTGTGGCTTCTTTCGCGCGATTTTTCCCCCCAAGTTTTTTTGTCGCTGTATTCGGGTTTTAGCGTTTCCGATACCCCATTCTGGAGACTACTCCTCGTTCCAACGCCGTCGATTATCGCCAAGCTACCTCCAGCGGAAACACAGATTCTCTATCTGGGGTTAATCGCTAGAGGTAGTCCGACCAGCTGCGATTGGATTTGCAACTACCTGTGCTGGAAACTGAAACCCACTCTGGAGACGTGGAAACCCGCCACATCAACCACACTTTCGCCCCCTCCCCAAATTATTCAAGGGAAAAAGCCACCACCCAGCCCTAGACGCCCTTAAATTCCATCACAACGCCACCAGGGTCAGAAAGAAAATCATGGCGTCAACTTCCGATGTGCACGGTTCCTCTCCCGTTCCGACGATGCCCCAACCAAATGAAAACGGCCGCGCACATATGTCCTCCCTTTCCTCATCGTCTTCTATCTCCGACGCAGAAAACGAACGCCGTGGTCGCTCTGAACGCCCACGGATGGCCAGTCGGAAACCCAGTGCCTCCATACTAGTTCCTCGAGACCATCCTGAGATTGAAATTGAAGAAGAAGAATTTCCCCCAGATGACGCACGCGCGATGAGTCCCCGACGTAACTCTGCTGATTTGGAGCGACTGGGAAAGGAGGCCAGGCAGACCTTGCAGGAGTGCGTATCTACATCGCGATCTATCAGTTGTTTTGCTACTTGATGCGTTTGCTGACGATGGCTTTAGACAAGCAAAGGCGCTGCAGTCCTCCCTTCAAGCACTAGCCGAACGTATTGAAGCAGTGAAATCGGACCACGACAAACTCGAAAGTGAAAACAAATTCTTGCAGGATTACATTGGTGGATTGACCCGAAACATGACCAAGAGTGAAATGACGAGATCCAGCACTAAGGTCAGAAAGTCGCAAAAATAGACGCGACGCCTTTCAGCATCCCGGTTGGTAGAGCCCATGGCACGGCTGGCAATGTCTCCGCTTGTATAGCGAAAACGAAAGAACGGTACGAGATACGTCCCCGCCATGGGTCGATTGTACATTTCAGCAACTACGCATATCACCTTTTTGGGTCTCCCTTGGCGACACGTTCTTTTGACTGGTTGGAGCACCATCCATTCTGCGGACGATCACACCGCACTATAATACGTATCAACATTACGAGAGGAATCGATTTTTGACTGCATGTCGTGCGGCGGGGTCGGAATGGCAACGGCGCTTACCCGAGAGCCACTCGTGCTACATTTGGCGTCAAACGAATGTCATTTGTCACCAGTTCATATCCTGATTTGCTACTTCCGCAGCGGACGTATCGCACGATGGTTTTGCCACAGTCGATTTCACCAGATTATCCTTACCACTCGTGGCCAATAACTCGTGGTAGAAAGCGGCCTTTTTCCCTCGGCCGATGCATGGAGATTGCCACGGTGTTTTACTACAGCGAAAATCGAATAACATGGTTTGCTCCCGTGACATCATTGCACACCGGTGTATCGGTTAGGAGCGTGCTACTTCGGCTTGGCGACGATCAATGCTGGATCCCGATCACACCGATCTTCGTATTGACCAGATGACGTCTTGCGTGATGGGGCATTATGGCCTTGGTCTCTCCTGTGCCGACTGGGCCCATCTTCAACTGTCCATATTGACTTGATTCTACTTCTGTCTTAGCTTTTTTTTCAACCTCCTTTTTTTTTCTTCATTCGTCTATTTTCTTATATTGTCATACCGGGAGGCAATCTGTACTTGTGGCATACATAGCACGCTCGGCGTTCGGAAATTACTGGGGATTACCTATTAGACTTGTTTGATTGATTCGACAGGAAACCGCACTGGGCGCATTTGTTCTCATGGTCTGCAAAAAGGCGAGGCGGGGAGAGTAAGCATTTTCACGGAGCAGCCCGTTGTTTTGTTTGTTTTCTATTTCAACATCATGATTATCGTGTACATTGGGATCGTCCCGGTCTGACGATTCGGCTTGATATTGTTTGGCTTTGAAGACATTTGCTTAACATACCCAGAAGCGAGCGGTTTGATTGAATACAGAGATATTGATATACTGTTTTTCTGTTTCTTGTACTTCAAGTGCCCGTTGTACGGAGTAGTCGCTGATACCAGGCTAGTCCCCTTCCACCAACGCCCAGCCTAACACCAGATCTAACCTTACCACGGCCGTATGCCCCAAGCAGATGGGTTGTCAAGAAAAAGCCTCCAAACGCCACAAGAATCCCAATCTCAACCACCCACCTAAACACTCCGTCCCTAGTCCTAGACTATACTAGCACCATCTCAGCCACACCCATAATAGATATCTCCCAAACCGACGGAGCCTCCCACATCCCCAAACAATATAATAACATAGTCTCAAAAACAAACGGAAAGGAAAAAGAAAGGAAAAGAAAAAACACATCATCAAGCCTAAGATCCCCCAGAAGCCCCCAAACCCTCACATGACATCATAAAATCTACACATCTAGGAATATCATCTCCCAGCCCCAAGCGCCCCAAACGCCCCAGACCCAAGGGAAATCTAATAAGGATCAATGAAAAATAATGATAAGAGTAATAATAAATCTACCCGGAAATAATAAAACCCAATCGTATAATAACAGATACTGATACATCATACATACCAAAAGAACCCCTTTCTACTTTTATTCCCTGTCGATCTCCAGCAACAAAAAAGGATAATTAAGGAAGATGGTTCCCGCGCGCCGCATACGTCATGTTTCATGTTTCATGTTTTGAGGCTGAGCTGTGTTGTGATTTTTATTTATTTATTTATTTGTTTTTTCGGGTCTTCATTTTTCTGCAATCGTGTGGCTGGGGAGTTGGGGCTGAGTAAAATGATTCATGCGGGAGATTTGGATTGTGGGTTTCTGTAGATGGATGTTTGTTATTTTTCGTTTTTGGGAATTGGTGTTGGGGTGGGGGTGCTTTTGTTTTGTGATTGTCTCTGTACTCCGTATGTAGGTCTGTGTAGGTTATGGGTATATAGGAGGTTATGATGGGTTTGGGGGCAGGTTTTTTGTGTCATGTTTTTGCTTTTGTGCTTGTTTTTCGTCCAGGTCTGTGGCTATCTGTCTATCTTATGTGTCATTTTGGACGGAGCGTTTAAGCATGTTTGCCTCTTTACTTGCTTTTTACGGGAAGGGAGGATGTTTGTATGGCGTGCTTGTTGCATGGATCTGTCTTAGGATGTATATGGAATCGGATGTGTAGGATGGTACTTTTTCTCAACTGACATCACCCTCGTACCAGGACCAGTGCCCAGTAGGAAATTGCATCCTTACACCCTCACTCTACATAAAAGATCGTTAAGTTTGAACTTTCGGATTTCTTTGTTACCACTGCTGCTGGGCTTTAGATCTAAATTCGAGCTCAGGCGGACAATCAAACGCCATGCGTGGCACGAAAGCAACCAAGACAATATTCAGGTGATAGTCCAGGTCTTGCGAGGGGAAATGATTTCACTGATGTTTGTAGGGGGCACGAGTCTGTAACAGGGAAAGGTATTCTTTGGGTAGTTGAGGCAATAGGCAAAAAATTTAAAAGGGAAATAAGGTAAAAATCATGCGAGAAACGAAAAGTTGAATCACAGATGGAGAACTGGTGCACGGGCAGAAGCCAACCACGCCCCAGAGTGAGCTGCGTTAAAGAAAGAAAGCAGAGGACCGAAAGAGCATTAAGAACCCGAATCTCCATCCGCGGGCCGTGGTGCCAGATAGCCTCCACCTTGCCCTAGATTGTATGATACGAAAACGTCAAAGGCGCCTTGTTCCCTTTCCCTCTTCAGCACTCTAGCTCTTTCGCGTGAATCAACAGTCCCGTCGTCCGAGTGCTCCATCTATGATCGGACGTGAGTCCTTCATCTCTCCTTTACTCGGCGGCGGGCTTCTCGCCCTCAGCAGCGGGGGCCTCCTCCTTCTTCTCGGTGGAAGCGTTCTCAGCAGCCGGCTCAGCCTCAGACGAGGTCCAGAGGGTCTACCCGGTGTTAGCAAAGGTTGGCGGAATCGTGGTGTGTGCATTTCATCTTACCAGGTTGTCTCTGAGAAGCTGCATGATCAGGGTGGAGTCCTTGTAGCTCTCCTCGCTCAGGGTGTCAAGCTCTGCGACAAACGTTAGCGTAGTGTCCGCTTCCATAATTCGGTTAAGGTGGCTGAAACATACCAGCAATGGCATCATCGAAAGCAAGCTTGGCCAGGTGGCAAGCCTGGTCAGGGGAGTTCAGGATCTCGTAGTAGAAGACGGAGAAGTTAAGAGCCAGACCCAGACGGATGGGGTGGGTAGGAGCAAGGTCGGTCTGAGCGACTTCAGTGGCGGCCTTGTAGGCCTCGAGAGAGGCATCGGCAGCGCCCGAACGACGGTCACCGGTGGCGAACTCGGCAAGATAACGGTGGTAGTCACCCTTCCTGTTGTTGCAAAGAACGCGATTAGAATCTTACCAATCGCATTGACGTAGGATGACAACAACATACATCTTGTGGTAGAAGACCTTAGACTCGCCGCTCTGGGCAGAGGGGATCAGGTGCTTGTCGAGAACCTCGAGGATATCATCGCAGATCTTGGCGAGCTCAGACTCGATCTTCTGACGGTACTCCTTAATGAGGGAAACCTGGGACTCGTTGCCCTTGGACTCTTCTTTTTGCTCAATAGAGGTGACGATTCTCCAGGAAGCACGGCGGGCACCAATAACGTTCTTGTAGGCGACGGACAGGAGATTGCGCTCCTCAACAGTAAGCTCTACATCGGCCGAGGCGACAACCTTCATGTTCTCGACCATCTCTGAACAATCTGTCAGTACCGAGTGATTGATATCGGCGATAAAAAAGATAAACCAACCTTCGTAGCGCTCGGCCTGCTCGGCGAGCTTGGCCAGATAAACAGCATCTTCGTGACCCATTGTGATAGGTTTCTGGTCGACTGTTAGTGGATACGCTTTAAAATTCGAGCACAACAATATAGAGGCCAAAAGCAGCGGGAATAGCGAGCATGAAATGGGGCCTGGATCATGAATAGCATGAGGGGCAAGCGGGTAGTCACAGGGTAAATGACGAGGCTGTGATAGTCAAGTGGCCCGAAGAACACGAATTCTAGATCCATCCGTCGTCATCTTTCTTTCCTTCTAATACCCCCCCACAAAAAGTATGCGAAGGTTGAATGGAAAAAGAATTCCATGCATTTTTCCAAACCAAGGGAAACTATTCTTCGACTCCAGTATGAAATCGACGCGACTGGGGACGGTCGGGAATTGTTGAAAGTGGGCGTCGCACCGCCGGTCCCTCCAGTCGGCTAGCCGTTGACTTGCGTCGCGAATGGGCGATTCCAGAGCGGTAGTCTAAACGGAGATCATGGCAGCGAGAGCGACGACAACCAGCAAGCAATTCACCCCGTGAACACCACACGAACACGTGTTATAGCCCAAATAACCCTTCGTTGTATGGTTCCCAGACGGCTTGCGATGATGACGACCCAGATGATTGATGGTGATGGTTGATATGGGGAGAAACAGGGAAAAGGAGGGGGAAAACAGTGGAAGATGACAGAAATGGAATGTTCTCACCTGATAAGTCGGGGGATTTATTTAGGGGTTGGTAGATGGAGATAAAAAAAAGTTGGGAGGTTGAGAAAATGGAGGAAGAGTTTTATAACGGGGGAGGGTTAAGCGTTAGTTGCAGGAATAAAAAGTAATGACAAAAGTCGGAGAGGAAGAAGAGAGAGAGAGAGAGACCAAGGAGGGGGGAAAGAAGTGGGAGGGGAAAGTAAAGCGGAAGGGGGGAGTTGGCGGCGGAGACCTAGAGAGTCAATCACTGAGTGCCAGCGTCTGGCTCAACGCTTCAATAATGGGGGGGGGAACGTCGTCGACACCTGAGGAATACAATACACCCGGACTCGACGGCCGAATCGTCCAGAATGGACTGTCTTTTTATACGTTTCAATTCGTTTTCCGATTACCTTGCATTGCTCGAAACTCCTTTTCTATTTTTTTTAATTGTTTGATACTATTCTCGTATTTATCATTATTATTGTTATATCCAATCCCTTTCCTTTTTTTTTTTTCCCTTTTCCCTTTTTCTCTCTCTTTTCTTTTAGTAAAACAGATTGATTCATCTTCCCGGTTTTCCCCCCGTTCTACAAGAGCGGATGATTAACCGCGGACTCCCTTTTTCCTCGCTCACACACTCTCTCCTGACGCCCTTCTCTTCGTTCAGACAGTCCGTCGTTTGTGTGGTTCGGTGGGCCTCTCAGCGTCATCCCTATTTCCCTCTCCGCCAATCGTCCTGCCCGCACCAGAGATCCCAGTATGGGTCGTTTCTTCCTTGTATCCTAGTGATTTGCCATTATTGAATGAGCCTCGCAGCTAGTGGTCCTAGTCCAATGGCCATCTCCTCCATAGGCCCATATCCAAGCGCCAGAGTCCCCTTTGAAGAAATGAGATGTCACCTATTATTATTGTGTTTAACTGTGATTAATGAATGAATCCTAACTATTCCCACTGCCCCGGAGCAAATACGATTCCACGGATTTGGTTCGGGTGTCGGAGATAACTTCAATCGATAAGGGAGAGGAAGCTTCAAGAAGGTTTCCAATTGTTTGCCCTGGGGCGGAGGATTTTATGGATCGCTTTTTTCTTCTCTTCTTCTCTCTCTTCTAGACCCAACATCTAGAAGAAATCCATCCCTGTTTCTAGAATTTCGGACAGGGAGGGAAATTATGATACTAATTAATACACTTGTTGCGTGCGGTATTAATAGAAACATTCAATAATTTTAATTTCCCGCGCGTGAGCAAAGTAGTAGTACTCCGTACTGTGTACTAGTACACAGTAGTAGGGGATTCCACAACCACAAAATGAACAACAACATCGCTCACCTGACCCGCTGACTCACCCGCGTTGCCTCAACAGGCCACCAAATCACATGATCCACCGCGAACCCGAGTGTCGTCATTGGGTCTCGACCTTGGTCTGACAAGCCAAAACAGCAGGAACGTACCATTGCAACCAATCACTCACCACCAGGTACTTGAGAACCTTTGTTACTTCTCCCCTCATTCCTTCTTCTCATTCTTCTCTTCCTCACACACACACACACACTCACACACATACTCTCTCCTAAACCTCCCTTTCAACAAATCGCATCACATCCCACACCTTACCCTCCGCCTCTCTACAATCACCATGCTCCGTCAAACCATCAGACCTCTCACCACTGCCAACCGCGCCCTCGTCTCCCGGTCTTTCTCAGCTCTCGCCCCCAGGATGGCCGCAGGTGATACCGGTGCTCCCCGTCCCGGCGGTGCCGCGCATGCGTATGTCGCTCTTGATATCCCCTATTATTTTGAGCCGATGAAAGAGGTCATCATCCGGCTGTAGGATGATGACATCATCGGTAGTGAATGGAACAATGGCACTAACGCATGCATCAAGCGACCAATTCACCAAGCGTGAAGCTGCCCAGGAGAACCTCTACATTCACGAGAAGGAGCTTGAGAAGTATGTATCCATCTTCCCTTCTGTTGTTTCCCCCCGAGCCATTTCATTGGCCTAATTCTGTCTTGTCGTTGGCACGGTTCGGAATCCACCGGTTGCAAATGAATGCTGACTTGTCTCTATAGGCTTCTGGCCCTCCGCAACAAGGTCAAGGAACAGCGCAAGCACCTCGATGAGCTGGACAAGCACATGTATGTCTTCTCTGATTCACCAAATGGGTACTTTGCACCTGGGTCGTGACTAACTTTTCTTTTTTTTGCGATTGTAGTGAGGAGTTGACCAAGAACCAGGGCGGTGAACAGAACTAGGTCCTTGGTTTACTCGGATGACGCAGTGTCATTAACTCACAGTTTCTCATCACAGTAGCATATTATACATGATCTAGTTTCCCTCAATGTAATCTACACTCTTCCTCCTATTTTGATCACTCTTGTGAGTTTAGAGATACGATAGTTGGCATACTGCCAAGCCATGGACGCGTATAATTGTCATTAGCTCATTGTTAAACCGCCAACAATAGCCTGAACATTAAAAGAAAAGAAAAAAAAGACCACAGCTCCGACCTAGCACAAGTACATTATATTCTCCGATCAATGATAACGATCGCCGTATGTTTGCTCGTATAACTAAACCCATGATTTCGAAAGTTCCTTATCTCTCCATTACCGCCGTCCCATGTAAGAACGGTAGAAATCATCAGCCGCAGTCGAGTTACCCATGCCGGAGCTGCTGAAGCCATAGCCAAACCGGGAAGACAGAGACTGCCCAGCCTTCTGGGCCGCGCTGACCTTAGTTTGGAGTTCGGATGTGCCTTGGTCGATTACCTGCAGTTGTGACAGATGAGAATTGAGAATGCGCACGATTTGAGAGATCTGGCAGAATAATTAGCGGTGCTATCGCGCAATCAGTCGTAAAGGCTATACTAACCGGTTCATCTGCCTTGTTGGTCTTGCTGAGTGTCGCAGAGGCACCGTTGACCTCTTCGATCATGCTGGTCAGATCCTTGCCCATCTCGTCCAGGCGCTCCGAAAGCTTCTCGGCCAGCTTGTAACTAAGGATGCGTCAGTATGTGCCATCTCAGCAGAAAATAGCTTGTTAAATTGGGAAAATACGTACGTCCTCTCACGTTCTTGGTCAGGTCCCTGCAAGGATTCACCAGGGCCCACTTGCTTCGACATCATTTCATCAACTTCACGTTCATACCGATCCAGCCACGAACCCAGTTCCTCCTGTTGTCCCTCAACGGAAGCAAGCTGGCGCTCGACCTCTTGAGTCGCACGCTCCGCATCAACCGTACTACCGTACAGCTTCTGCACCTTGGTGCCATTCTCAACAAGCATCCGGTCCCATTCTGCGACCTTCTCCGCCTGCTCTTTGAAGTCCTTCTGATACTTAGTCAGATCAGTAGCCCACCGGGTGATGATCTCATCCATGGTCTTATTTTTCAGGCGAGACTGAGCCGGGGGAGTCGGGCCAGCAGTCGATGCGCCAAGCGCGGCGCCCCCGATTGCCGCGTTGCTTGTCGCAGTGGTGCCTGTTGTGCCGGTAGCGGTCGATGTCGCCGGCACGGAGGGTGTGGTGAGCGATGGCTTAGAGGCATCTGTGGCTGCAGTGGGGGTCGCGGATGTGGTTGGCGGTTGTGAAGGGGCGGTGGTCCCGGCAGGCTTGTTCCCGAACAATCCACCGGTGGGTGCCGCTGGTTGGGCAGCAGGGGCTGCGGTGGCAGTAGTGCTCGGTGCAGTTGTTCCTGTAGACTTGGGGGCACCAAGTGCAGAGAACATGCCACCGCTAGGAGCAGCAGCGGGAGTTGTCGATGGAGTTGCAGAAGAGGTTGTACCACCAATGGCAGGGAATAGGGATTTTTGTGGAGTGGCAGATGATGCGGCTGGAGTCGTAGAGGGCTGTGCGCTAGTATTTGTGGTACCCAAAGAGAAAGCAGGCTTAGCCGCGGAGTCCGTTCCAGTAGCGGGCTTCTGGAAAAGAGAAGGTGTCTGAGCACTCGTTGTACCTCCGGCGGAAGGAGTTGGGGCTGCGCCAAATAACGGTTTGGGGGCAGTATCAGTACTTGTGGTCGGGGTTGTTGATTCCGCCGGCTTGTTAGCGTTTCCAAATAGATTACCTCCCGCGGGCGCTGCTGGGGTCGAGCCAAATAAGGGCTTCTGTTGTGTATTTTGTGTGTTCGATCCGAAAAGCCCGCCGCCGCCGTTCGACTGAGTCTGCGTCTGCGTCTGCGTCTGCGAAGCTCCTCCGAACAATGGGTTGGTGGAGGGTGCGGTTGCAGTAGTAGGGGTGGTGGATGAAGAGCTCGTTGTGTTCACGTTTCCAAACAGACCACCTGGCTTCTGTGCTGTCTGTCCGAAAAGCGACTGAGGCTGACTAGTAGCACCTCCCTGTGGTGGAGGACCAGCAGGAGTTGTGGACGCGGTGTTGCCAAAGATCGAGCCTCCTGTCTGTCCGGGAGTGGAAGTTGCATTACCAAATAGGCCGCCTGCGGGCTTTGCAGCATTTCCAAAGAGACCCCCGGCAGGTGTCTGTCCAGAGCTAGGCGTTTCGTTCGACTTTGGGGTTTGCGATCCACTGCCAAATAGCGAAGGTGCCTGAGTGGTAACCGCGGGTTTATTCTGAGTACCGAAGCTGAACGCAGAAGTACCGCTGCTGGGCGTAGCAGCGCTACCGCTGGCACCACCAAACAACGTAGACCCTTGCCCACCAGTCGCAGAAGCTGTGCCAAACAATGAAGGCGAGGAGCTGCCGCTTGTTGATGCTCCTATATTCCCAAAGAGACTACCCGAACTAGATCCAGTATTTGAATTGCCAGCAGTCCCAAAAAGACTTTTCCCAGAGCCCCCGTTGGAGGCTGGAGCACCGAATGAAAAAGACATGGCGTTGGATTGTGAAGGTATCAACAGGGCTACCCTGAAGTGGAAAAAAATAGATACGGCACGCAATCAGTCAATCAATCCTAGGGCAATAAAAAAGCTAAGAAACAGATAATTGAAGGTAACTCACTGCGCCCAGGAATGATGAGCCCTGAAAAATAAATGGGCAGGTGAATGGGTCTTGGTACGGGGATTGGCGCAGTTCAACAGCCAAAACAATTAATTATTCACCCGAAGCTGAGAGATTCTCTGGAGGAACCGCGCTTGGCCCGGCTGGGCGACTATCTCGACACCTTAGGCACTGTATCTCTCCAGCACTGCCTCAGGCATATGTTCGAGACTCGCATGGAACCAGTTATTCTAACCATAAGGGAGCAGCGACAACATCACCACCTGTTCACTGCAACCTTAAATATTCCTTATACCACTCCAATTTTCCCGTCCCAGGAATTCTTGTCACCTGTCTACATGTGTTTTTTTGGAAAATAGACCTACTCTAATGTCCGAAAGGCCATCCCGCCCGTCCAGTTCGCACTTGGAGCCCCCAAGCAAAAGCGTAGAGTTGGTGGACTCCGGGGCACGAGACTCCGGTATGGTACATACCGAAACCCTCGAGTTAGTCCACGTTGTTTATCGCTGACAATATTACTTCAATAGCTACAAATAGTGACGATGATCATTTCTCAGACGCCAGCGAAGGCCATGAACGTGCCCATTCACGCTCGGCGTCCGGTCGCACATCTCCTGTTCCACTGACTCGGGTAGAGAAGGTTGACGATAGTCCTTCGCACGGCGACATTCCTGGTACTCGAGCATACGAGCTAAGGGGACATGATGCAGTTCCCGATGAGATTGAGGTTATACCGGAAGGGTCGCGCAGTCGAAGCTCCTCGACAGTGGGGCGACCACAGCGCCCTTTGACACCGGAAGGTTCACCAATTCCCCGGACAATAGTTGAGAAAGTCGATGCAGACCAACCAAGTCATGGAGAGATACCTGGTACCGAAGCGTATGAAAAGCGCAAGGCCGATGCGGTTCCCGATATTGTGACGACAGCCTCGGATTTAGAGACGAAGTCACTGTCGCACAGCCCGGAATTAAATGAGCGGGGTCTTAACGAGGGAAGCTCTACGGATACTGATATCCCCGAAACAGTGCTCCAAAGAGTAGATACTTTGCCGGATGAGGATACAGAGTCACGTCCACGAGCACACCAAAGGCGGCCGAGCGATGCATTGCCCGACGTGACGGAAACTGTTCCAGATGGCCCAGGTAAAATCTCTTGCTCTCCATGATAGCGTGGGTTTAAAATGGACGATTGACCAATGCAGATGCACTGTCACCGTTGCAAGATAGCCCCCCGCATCAGAGTCATGACGAGCAGGAAACACCTGTGACCGGCGACGATGGGGCAAACCAGGCGGCTGCAGATGACTTTGATGATTTTGCGGAGGAACAAGACATGGGAGAGGATGACTTCGGCGATTTTGACGATTTCGATGAGGGTTTCCAAGAGCCCGGTACAGAGCTTGCTGATGAGGAACTCGTGGTCCAAACACCTCAACTTCATACACCACCTACAGTTGTAAGTAACTCCAACACCTATGATATCCCGTTACTCCTGGGGCAATTATGCTGACAATACCCGGTAGCCACCTCTTGCGGACTTCGATTCCTGTCAATCACTTTCTGATGTTTTTGCTGCCCTTGACGAACCTCTTGACCGTCTCTTTCCCGCTGCTAAGGAGGTTTCATCACTCCCTCCGATAGAACCACTCCAAAACAACTCGGCTATCTTCAACACTGAACGCTCTTTGTCATTGTGGTCCCAGCTTGTTGCGCCTCCACCACTACAGCCCCAAAATTGGGTGAAATCTCGGATCCGTCGTCTCTTCCTAGTGTCGCTAGGAGTACCTGTCGATCTTGACGAGATCTTACCAGCTTCGAAACAAAAGAAACTTGTTTTGCCATCAATCAACCCCAGTGGCCCCGGCGCTACTTCGGGGACCCATTCTCGTTCGGGAAGCCAAGTCAGAAAAGACGACGTTCAGAGCGGTGCCAACAGTCCGTCGACGTATGGCCCACCGCGGAATAGGGCTTCATGGCGGCGCGAACCATCTCCACCACCCCAACTAGACCTCTCAGCTGTCCGACGCCTATGCTCCACGACAGACGCAGCCCTAGATGGACTCACGGACGGCGAATTACAAGGCCACGTAAATGAGCTGGAAAATGTTACGCTCCGCGCCAGCTCTGTTCTCGAATACTGGCTGAAACGACGAGACGGCCTAGTAAGTGAGAAAGAAGCATTCGAAGGTGTGATTGAGAACCTTGTCAATCATGCTAGGCGTGTGAGAAAATAATGTATAGCATAATGAATCTCCTTTCCCCTTCTCTTCCACTATCAATTCCCCTGTCACCCCTCGCTGTCTCGACTTGGCCTATCTGATTTTGGATCTGAGATCCCCTTCTCTTCATTACTTTATTAATACCTCTTGTTTCGGTGGGGTCTGGACCTTGCTATCCGTTCTTTCACTTTAGATATGATCCCCGTTAGAATGAGATTATAATCTCTGTTAGATAGAATAGGTTAGCTAGGATAGGTAGCCTGGGATCTATAATATACAATCCCGATCTATACACCTTGCGTTACTTCGCTAGTTTCAACACTAACATATATTCGCTCCACTAGTTGGGAGGGGACCTGGCCTTGTAATGTGTGTATATATATGTATATATACTGTACCCAGTACATGGATTACGCCGTCTCAATGATACTACTAGTGTAGAGAACTTAGTCTTCTTCTCTTAATACGACAAAGGCACGTTCGCATGACGTTCAATTAATCTCTCCCCTTCTGTTGTCTTGGTATACTGTACATAGCACGATGCCAAGTTTAAAAGATATGCACATGGTATCTGCGTATATTCCGAGCTAAGAGATCAAATCATATGGAGATAAAGATGAACCAATCCAAGACTCCACACGCAGTCCCATGCAGTGATTGAATCAAGAATGTAAGACATGAGATAGAAAGGGTGGTGAGAACAAATAACAAAGACTTAAGCAAGCTGGGTATCGTACGCAAAACAAAAGCGCCTGACTGAATCGACAAAAGGAAACCGCAGATCTCACGTATGCAAAGAAAACGCAAGGTAGGAAGTAGAACAAATGAACATAAGTCATCAGTCATGCAGGAGTTCTCCTTGGCAGGGGCTCAATAGAAATGTTGACTTTTTCTCTCTCTTTATTTAATCTAGTGCAATGACTTCGGGTAGGTGTGTATTGCAAACCGGCCCCTTCGCGGAGGTGGTCCGTTCAGATTTTGGCCTCTGAGTAGCTGGAGCTGGGGAATGGTTGTTAGTCTCGGGCGCCTTTCGTTTAGATGGGACTCGTTCCCCGGTGCTATCAAGCCTATATTCTGAGGGTTGTGCATCTGGTTCGGATTTTAATTCCCAGGAGCCATCGGCTTTGATGAGGATTGCCTTTGCTCCTTCCAGTAGATTTATGCGTGCTAGCTCCGCGCGAACTTCTTGAAGGTAACCGTCGATGACTAGTTGTTGGGGGCGCGCATCTTGGCCGCAAATGGGACATTTCCAGTCATTTTTCAGGCTGCGTTTTCCCGACTTCGAGGCACGCGTCTGTATCCAGGTCAAGTGATCAAAGCAGTCTCGGTGTTTGCAGGCGCGTCCGCGTACAGGGCGACTGAAGATGCGTGCGGTGAAAGGATCCACGAGATTGATGCTGAGATGGTCACTGACGACACTCACGTCGTCGTCCTGCAAGCTGGAAGAGACACGCTGGCAAATCTGCTCCCGACATTCTGAAGCAGGTAAGGCTTGAGCAAGTGAAAATGCTCGAACCAGATCTGAGATCTCCAACACTTCAACTGCCATTGCGTATAACATATCGTTTGCTTCAGCTGGACTGCGGATGAAATGTAAGGATATCATATTATCCCCTTCTCTGAGATGGTCGGTGATATCTAACGGGAGGTCTTTGCCATTATGCACTCGTCGGCGAACGAAAAGCTCCACCCCATTGACGTGGACATAAAGCACACTCGGCCACACCGACTCGGCTACAGTCCACATCGACTCTGCAACCTCACTGGCAACCGAGGGCATCTTGATACACCGCAGCCGATATACTCGATTGCCGCTTGAATAGAAACGGAACGAGCGCTGCCCTATTCCGGCCGAATGAGATCTAGGAAACTGATCCAGATTATCCTTTGACAAAGTAAACCTCCAATGGAAGGCACACTGTTCTCGACCGAGTGGTGTCGGCGGCACAGCGAACATACTGAGATATTGGTACAGCTCCATCTCTTTCTCGCCTGTAGGCCCTCTAGAAAGCAGGTAATTGTGTGGGTCACGTAGGTGGGCCTGGTGCAGAGCATCACGAAGGGGTTGGGGCGGTATTGTATTCAAAGGATGTGAGCCTGGAAGTGGAAGAAGAAGGGTAGGCGGAGGATGAGGACGAGGTGGTCGCTGAGACACTGGAGACTGTGGGGGTTGAGTTTGATGCCTCGGATTCATTGGTTGCATGGACGGTCCAACCCCATTGTTTCGTTGCTCTAGCTGAGGTGGTCGTGTCGTTACCTGTCGTGGGGCTTGGACAGCGAGTTGCATTGGCGGAATTCTGCCTCCCGGTAGATGCGCAATCTGAGACGGATATACCATCGGTGGAACGGCTGCTTGGGCTGGAGCGCCGGTTGCTCTCGACATTGGATCGGACGCCTGAGGTGTGTAAGTATGTTGGATGGTCGGAGCGCCGTTTGTCCAACTTGAACGTCGGCTGTGTGCAACAGGAGCCGAAGGATGAGGGCCTGGGGCATTGGCTGGCATGCGCGCCGGTGGAGGCAAGAATTGATACGACGTTGGGGAGGCTCCCCCAGGATTAATCGGTTGAGGCATTGGGGCGGCTGACGACCTAGCCACTGAATGAGGCACCGAACTTCCACGGCTGGCCATCACAACTGGCAAAGGATGTGAATGTGTATTCATTGTACCCTGCGATGCCAAAGGGCCAGGTTGGCTGGGTAGTGGGAGCATCATCTGAGGATTGCGGATCTGAGGACCACCTGTGCTGGTAAGTCTGGCCACTGGATGTATCATTGGATCTCTCTCGCCACCGATCGTGGACCCGTGGGACAGGATCGGGTGTGGCCCTGACTGATGCGTGCCTGTTGGTACAGAAACCGAGTGGTATGCCTGAACGACCTTTTGGGTTTCCTCGTAAATCTGTGCATTAGATACCAGACGCGGTGATGCGCAACGCTGATGGTAGTACCGTAGATCTAGCTCCCAGACGGCCTTCAAATGCTCTTCGCTCCTGGATCCGGGCAATGTCCGACAGGTGGACAGAAAGATCGTATACGCCAAGGCCCCTGATGTGATTCCAAAGTGCTTCACAAGCTCAGCGACCAACGGTGGAAATTCTCGCTTTCGCACTTCCTTCACATACATGGGCCACCTCTCAGCCAGCAAGCGGAGACATTGCCCGGCCTGCTCCACAACCTGTCGATATCTAGACCTCTGCATCAACCCAACAAGTGGGGCAGGAAACTGAACAGACCATCTGAGAAACCCCGCTGAGACCCGATTATTTTCTACGAGAAGTCTCCTTATCACATCTAAGCCACACTCCTGAAGCACAGTATATCCCGGTAATTGGAGAAATTCTTGTGGGGCAAGGCTATGCAGACAATACACCTGATGAATAGCGAGGAACAGAGGGTCTCGTTCAGCACAGGCCTGGTAGAGAAGTTGCGTCCGTGGCTGTTCTACATTTCCAAGACAATCCCTCTGCTTCAACTGATCTTGGAAATTTTCAAGTGTCTTCAGCGACCGTTCATAGAATGCGTCATCCAGGACGGGATTGTGAAAAGGATTGTGCTGGGATGCATTAGGAGGCTGTACCATCTGTTGTCTAGGGGAGGCGGCAGACGGTGGAAAAGCTGGACATAATGCTGGAGAGTGGGAGTGAGATGTGTGCGAGTCCCGTCTCTGCAGTTGCAGTGAAGTATTGCTCCTTTCACGCTGGTGTCCGGCCCTGGAAGGATTCCCGGCTTCAACCCCAGCTGGTGAAGATGTAGACACTGCTGTCGCGACATGTGGCTGATGGGATAGCGGCGCTGGCCCCACGGTGCGAGGGGACGGAAATGCTGTAACTGAGGGGCTCGCGCCATTGCGATTAACGACATTTCTGGCGTTGTCGCATACTGGAGAAGGCACTTCGATCGGGTTTTGGAGGGACGCTATGGGTACACTTTTGGGGGTTGTGGCAGCTGTCGCCGCTAGAGGAGGGTCGGGCCCCGCTCGGTCAGAAATGACGTGCCCCAGCGAGCCCTGGGAAACGGGAGAGTGCTGCTGGAACTGCTGCTGGGCGTGACCGGGAGTCACCGGGGATATTGCATTCGGCTGCGATTGAGATCGTGAGGGTGCGGCGGCAGCAGTGGTGATTAATGCGGCATTCTCTTGACTCGGAGATGGCACGGGAAGCACGCGAAGAGAGGACGACTCTCGCATGCCTTGTTGACGCGTCCGGCCAGCAGCAGCAGCAGCATCAGCAGCAGAAACGACAACAGCGTTATTCAAAGTAGTAGCTGCAGCCGAATCGTCAGGTATTTTGGAGTGGCAGGAGAAAGAAGAGGGACAGTTGGCTGCATTCAGCATCCACGATCTCCGCACACCACCTAGAAAAATGTTGGCGGTGGAATTGGACGATTCGACGGAATTTGGATTAGAATTAACGTTAGGTAAGTGGGGAGTTGGGCTCATGATGACAGAGCATCGTCTGGTTCATTTTCTTCTTTCGCTTGGTTTTGTTGTGCTTCACTTAAATGCATCTGAAATTACTTAAGTCCAAATTGAAATTGGAGCGAGGGAAGAATCCATGTCCATGTGAGAATTCTGTTCGTCTGGGAGACCGACCGACATACAAATAGTTAAGAAAAGACAATTACGACGGGGAAGTGGAAAAAAAAGAAAAAGACAATAGGTACAAATAAATTATGGCGCGTAACATACATACACACACTGGTACATACCGTCGAGAACAGATTATTATGAGGTTGTCCCCCAAAGTAGGAAAACAAAAAAAAAAGAAAAAAGAAATGGTCACTCTGAGAGTTCTATCAACCGGTGATGAAGAGAAATTCAACGTCTATTTAGTAAGTGGGATCAACTGGTTTAATGCCGTGTGATAGAGCATTTCCTTCCGCACTGCTTTTTATAGCCTCCTCGGATTTTGTTTGTATTTCTATTTCTATCTCTATTTTTATTTTATTTTACCTCGAGTTCTTCTTTTCTCGCCTATTCATTCCCTATCAATTGGTCTCTAGATAAGTATTACTAAAAGGAACAACGCTAATGTAGTAAGAGTCGTAGTAATGCTTATTATCCATGCAGGCGGTTAACTGAAACAAGAAAGAAAAAGTACAAGGGTAGGTGGATAATTAAAAACCAAAACTAAAACCAAAATCAAAAAGAAAGAGAAAGAGAACGAGAACGAGGAAAAAACAAACTGATCCTCTCGTTAGACTCAACATTTATGCATGATTATCCTCTTGAGTCGGAGGATCCTCATGCATGGCCCTAAATCGGTTTATTGGGATGGGATGAACCCATCGAGGAAGTCTAATCTTTCTGGACCTGTCAAGTTTCTGAGAAAGTCGCATTCGTTGCAAGGTATGTCGATCCCATACCGGTCCTTTCCCTAGTGCCAAGTGATGGATCCAAGGGAGAGACTTTATCAGGTTTATACGCCATGGACATATGTATCCCTTGGGCAGTGTGGCTGGGGGGTTGTACTATACACACTCCTAGTGCTACCTCGTCCACGGGGCATCCCCGTTTCGCCCTGATTGGAGAGATCTGATAGAGTCGAGAATGATTCTATACATATTGCGTTCGGTGGGGAGAAGTATATCATATCCATCCAGTTTGGAGTTGATACATTGGAGCAATGATTGCCGTTTTCGCTTGTCTGATGCATACATACAGAATGGAGCTGATCGTCACCTTTCTGACTGGTATTTATTAATCTATTCTATTTGGAGACCCTCCTCGTGGAGAAATGTCAGCCGTTGATCCATGTTTCCATATAAATCAATGTAAGGCACCGTTCCTCTCTTGGGTGAACAGCTGTTCGGTGATGAAGTAGTCGTTGGAATGAGACTCTGTTGGCTCCAGTCATCCTCTCGCGTCTCCCTCCCAATTAGGGCTCAGTGTACCTCTCCATTTGCCTCACTCATGCTACAGCAATTGAGCACCACCCTACTTGGATTTGTTTCTTAAACCTATGGTACTGGGTCAATCCCCTTTCCCTGTGATGCCAGTTCCCCTTTTGTTCTTATTTTGGTCCTGCTCCTGATCGCCATCCTCATTTCTCTTATCCAACATCCTCTTTCAGCTCCATTCCTCAGGCCACACCCGGTACCTTCAGGCCTTAAGGTATATATATATATATATGGTAACGGCGTGACTTCCCGCAGCCTCACCATTAATTCATTCCCTTCGTGGGACTGACTACAATTTATTCTTCTCCTCCTCTTCCTCTTCTCTCTCTGCCCTTCTCCATCTTCACTCTCTCCATCACAAATCATAAATCTTCCAGACCGGTCAGGGAGGATACCGAAGAGGAGAAAAAAAAAAAACTTCAAAAGCAAAAAGCCAAGAAGCCGAAAAGAGAACTCAACGCCTAATTTGCTCAAGGCTTTAATTTCCCAAGGGGGTTCCATTTAATTTCCACTTGTGACCCGTGCTGCGTTGCCGCTCAGTTAGCGCCCCTACTGTACGTCGATTACAGCAGTGACCCTGACCGACCTTTGAAAGCACATCTCAAGCGCCTTAGATCGTCCTTTTACGTGCATCTGTTCCTTTCGGTCGATCTGATCCTGGTCCGTAAGAAGAACTAACGGTTGTTCTTTTTTTATCGCTCCGAACCTAGCTTCTTACGACGCTCCCGAGGAAAAGACCGGCGATCTATATATCATCAGCTTCTAGCCCTCCTCTTCCCTTCTTTAGCGCCACTGGGAAAACGAACTTCCTTCCAGACCCGCCGCTTTCTTGTCCCCGCTAATTCTCCTTCCCTCTCGCCCATTTGAGGCAGGCTTGGATTCCTCAACACAACCCGCATTCTCTACATTCCATCCACCCCCCAACCTTCGTTACTGCGACGATCTTCGCCCCAGCCATCCGCTGCCCTTGTGGTTTTCAAGATCTCCCCGCCAGGCTGTGGCCCCTATGTCCTGCGCAATCCCTCCGCTGCTATCACCGCGTTCTTGTGACGTTTGACCCCACTCTGGATCTTTAGACTTCATTGACTCCGAGGAACCACCGCCAATGGCTCTCACAACGCCTCCTCGCAATGTCCACCCGGGAGACCTGCTCCTGGTTGTTCGTGAGTGACCCGACCGTGGTCGCATACAATTTCCGCGACACTCGGTGTGTTCGATAAATGCTGACCGTGTTGGCAGATGATTTTGAGGCCCGTGGACCGGATGAGCTTAACCTGCGTCGTGGCGAAAAAATTGAGCTGGTCGAATTGGACGATGGTTTTGGTGATGGATGGTATCTTGGAAAGGATTTAAACACAGGAACTCAAGGCCTCTTTCCGGGAGGTAAGACCTCACTAAAACAGTTACTGTGAAAGGAAATGTTGTTAACGCAAGCACAACCTATCAGTATACACTACCGCTGCCCCAAAGATCCCCATCCGGCAGAAAGACACCCTTGGATCCAATTCATTGAAAACCGACCTCCATAATGTGATAGGGCAGGAGATATTCGCTTCACCTATTAGTGGCGACTCTACGCCCCAAGCTTCGCGACGTGCCAGTACGTCTGATATGAGCGCGCCAGATGTTGATGATTCAACGGCCCCGACACCATCCCCAAAACAACAGCAGAGGTCCAGCTCCTCGCCCTTGCCGACATCTAAAATGGCGATCGATATCCAGAAGACCATCCGACAGTCCATTGATGGCCACTTGAGTGGCCAGGACAGCCCTGTGATGAACGAAACCCTGAGCGTCATTGATGAACACATTACCGATCTGAGTACACCTCGCCACAGTGTGACTGCTTCTCAAGATTCTAAGGCGGTGAACGACTCAGCAAGCGAATATAGCAGCACTTTCGAGCACCGAATGTCTTACATTAACGGTCATGAAACCGACGAAGAAGAAGAAAAACAGCCGACGGAGGAAGAAGTTCGCCGATGGAACCATTCCGACACGGCAAAACATTTACGCCAGTTGGGACTTGAAGCCAAACACTGTGACATATTCGAGGAGCAGGAGATTACTGGCGATGTACTCCTTGATATGAACCAGGATTTCCTCTTCATGAAGGAGTTCGATTTTGGTGTTATGGGTCGGAGATTGAAGACATGGCATAAAGTCAAAGCCTTCCAGGAAGAGGTCAAGGGTATACCGCAGCAGCAATCGTCACGCGGCTCTTCTTTTGCGACCCCTCAGGATGAACGTACTCCTAGTCGCGCAAGTCATACTGGCCCTCTCTTTCCCAGAATCCCCAATCTGAGAGGGCCAAACGGCCCGACACAACACCCGCGACTCATCAGTAGCGCTATGCAGAGCAACACGGGTTCTCCTCTGACATCACAAGCTCCAGTATGGATGGACCACTCTAGGAGACCATCGGCCGCGTCCATTCGTGAGATTAACCATTCGCGGCGCCATTCTTCAATCGATACCACCAACCGATACTCCGGGGTGGGAGACTCTTCTCCTGCCAGCCACCACAAGAAAAGCTCGTTTGATCGGGGGTGGACCTTGAATGGGGCTTCAGGATCCCAACGGCGTCCCGGGTCAGCTCTCGGGGCAACAAACGAGATTGTCACCCCCCAATCTGTGTTTCACGCGGCGGAGTCCAATGGTTCTGACTCGGTTACCGCTGTTAGCGATGATTTAGATCGCGGCTACTTTTCGGGCCCGGAGGGCGATACCCGAAAGAATCGGCGCGTCCTACAGAAACGAAGCTCTACCCATGGCAGTGTTTCCACGCCATCCAGCATTCCGGATGAGCAGTTTCAACTCAAAGTCAACAAACGTCACTCGCGTATCAATAGTGCTGATTCTATCAGGGATGCGGCGCAAATCACACCTCCCGCAGTGAAAGCTTCCCCGCCCAGGGGTCGTTTCAGGAGCTTGAGCACTCGAGCTTCGGACCGGCATGGCCAGCAGTCATCTAACCCGCCATCTGCGGAAGAGAAGTCTTCTGGCTCTGGATTCTTCGCCGCATTTTCGTTGGGTGGGAAAAATAACGAGGAGCAGTCTCAACGCTCGAACACTTTACCTCTACAGGGGATCAAGAGCGCTGGGCCTAAATTCCGACGTGCTGTTGGTTTCCGTGCCATGTCTGAGGCTGTTAAAGGGATAGATACCTCCATCGCTCCCCCGTCTCCTAGTAAAGATCCTGAATCGCCCTCTGCTAGAACAGGATCGACAACCCCTTCGACCACAAAGAGCTCAGAACGGCATAGCACGGATGGTTCGGGCAAGACTGCAGAAAACGGTGCTTCCTTGCCACGTGCCCGTACTCTTAGGTCTGGGGCCAAGTCAAAGAAGGATACCAGCGCTTATACCCAGGGCCTGGAGAAGAAGACCCCGAAGGAGCAGATCCAAGGATGTGATTTTTCGGGGTGGATGAAGAAGAAGTCCTCAAACCTGATGACAACGTGGAAACCGCGTCTCTTTGTGTTGCGTGGTCGTCGTCTGTCGTATTATTACTCAGAAGATGACACCGAGGAGCGTGGTCTTATCGACATTACGGCCCACCGTGTGCTTCGCGCGGATACCGACCCTCTCATCGCCCTGCACGCGACCTTAACTGGTTCCACAGCCTCGCCAACCTCGCCGTCTGGGTCTACTGCCGATGGCCCTTCATCCGATAAAGCCTCAGGCTCCGAATCCTCTCTGCGCGGGTCCAAGCCTGTTGGAGAAGGCCCTTTTTTCTTCAAACTCGTCCCACCAAAATCGGGCACTTCTCGGACGGTGCAGTTCACAAAGCCTGCCATCCATTATTTCCAGGTAGACAGTATTCAAGAAGGTCGCCTGTGGATGGCAGCATTGATGAAGGCTACGATCGAACGGGATATGGATCTCCCTGTAGAGACTTCCAATAAGCAGAAGACTGTTAGCCTTAAAGAAGCCCGTCTAATGAACCAGCGGCCTCCCACGCTGCTGCAGACGGCACCTACAACCCAGGGGGCAGAGGGGAAAGAGGAACGTTTGACAACCACCACAGAGGAGGAGAGTGGCTTGAGGATTCAAGGTCTTGGGGATGAGAAAGTGCCTACCCACGGGGACGATGACGAGAAGAAACGGGTCTCGAGCCCTCTCGGTGACCTTGATGTCGGCCCGTCCTCTTTGCTCCCTGAAGCAGTTGCAAAGCTAGATTGATCGTATCACTGAGAAGAGATAGCCGCTGCTTGATCACACTTTGTTTTGCTTGCTTTGAATGTTACTGATCTGTTTGGCGTTAATGTGATATACCCCCATTTGGATTATTTGATCTCAAGCTTCCAGCCGTTTCTCCTTTAATTTTATCAAATAATATTGCGCTATCTCTTCCATCTATCGTTGGCTGGCCAGGCCTTCGAGGACAAAATTAAAACCCGCACGAGCTCCAGTAGTCATGAGTCTTGTATGTATGTACATTGATGTAAAGGGGCCAGGATCGCTGATACCGACGGGACTTTCTAAAATTAGGGTTGATGAAGGAGTATTGATCGGCTCCATAAAGGATGATCACCCGCACGCCAAACCCTGCGTTCATGACCCGGCGTTTTAAGTTTTTCTTCTTTTTCTTACACCTCATATCAGAGAAGCGCAAAATGAGATTACATTTAATTGACATGGCTTCCCTCTGAAACAGAATAGACCACCGACGAGAACAACACGACATACGCCGCCAATGGTGCTGCGATTCCCCGGTTTGCCTCCATGTTCCTCCGCCGGCTCCTTTCCCGTGTACTCTCCCTCCTCCTGCCGCTGGCGATAGCAAGCAGTCTTTTCCTCTATTTTTACCCTGTCTTTCGTGGCTGCGCATTCCCACTGCCCGGGGATGATCACCCAGGTATCCTCTCGAGTTCATTTACCAGTGCACTCCGCCAACACTTTTCACCGCAATCCGCAGAGGACCCCGCGATTTTCAGACTTCTGGTCCTAGCGGATCCTCAGCTAGAAGGCGACAGCTCTCTCCCGAAACCCGAAGATGAGCTTCCTGCTCGGATTCAACATCACTGGGCGACAGTGAAATCGTCGGTGAACAAGAGGGAGCCGCGTCAAATCCTCACCGCCGTCTCAACTGCGTTGGAGTCCCTCGCCAGCGAAGATATCCCTCGCGCCTTGCGTGCAGCCCGGAAACGGCTCGATTTATTGGGTAATGACTACTACCTTGCGCATATTTATCGCACGCTACATTGGTGGAGTCGTCCAACACACGTCACAGTTCTGGGTGACCTGATCGGGAGCCAGTGGGTGACAGACGAAGAGTTTGATCGACGCGGCTGCAGATACTGGGAGCGGGTCTTCAAGGGTGGAGAGCGCATTGACGATGACATTACAGCAACTGGCGCAAGGGATTATACCGGTAGCGAGGAGCAGAGTGGTGAACTGGAGACACTCAATGCTACGCATTCCGCATGGACGCAGAGGATCATCAACATCGTGGGGAACCATGATGTAGGATACTCTGGGGACGCAAGTGAAGCGCGGATTGAGCGGTTTGAGCGCATGTTCGGCCGTGCGAACTGGGATGTGCGATTTCAGCTCCCATTAGAGCAGGTCAATAACGCGACTGCACCCCTCAGTGCTCCCCCGACTCTGCATCTGATCAATCTCAACACCTTGACTCTCGACTCCCCGGCCCTGTCCTCGGACGTCCAGTCGCGTAGCTATGCCTACATTAATGATCTGATCTCCCATCGGTTGTACCCTGTGGAAGACCGCACGACATTCACTCTCCTTCTTACCCACCTGCCCCTGCACAAGAAAGACGGGATATGTACGGACGGCCCTTACTTCACATTCCATGAATCAGACGACGAGGATGGCCCCGACGATGTACCGCGCTTCAAGGAAGGAGGACTGAAAGAACAAAACCATCTGAGCGACCACATCAGCAGCAGCGGAGTCCTCCAGGGGATTTTCGGCATGACAGGGGACCAAAGCGCCCCCGGCGCAGGAAGGGGACGGAATGGACTCATCCTGACAGGTCACGACCACACAGGCTGCGACGTGGTCCATTTTGTGAACCGAACAATAGATACAACAACCGCCGAAGACTCCGACTCCCAAAGTTGGAAATGGGACGCACAACGCTACGATAGCCATGCCGATAACTCATTGCCTTCCATTAGAGAAGTCACCCTTCGCTCTATGATGGGTGAATACGGGGGGAACGCAGGCCTGCTTTCTCTCTGGTTCGATACTACTGTTAATGAATGGCAGTATGAGATCACCATGTGCATGGCTGGTGTGCAGCATATCTGGTGGGCGGTGCATATCGTTGATCTGGTGACTTGTGTTCTTCTTTTCGGGTATATATTAGCTGGTTCAGGGTCGAAACCAGGCCGTACAGAGACGATCGAGGTTGGTCAGGAGAAGAAGAGGAATTAAAGGACTAGCTATAGATATCCTTGGAGAAGACTTGCTGTCCGGACCGCTCAAGCGACTATATATTTAGGGGCCAACAACTATATATTTCTTTGTATTTATAACTATATACGGAAAGGGTGATACGCCCTGTGGATTTGTACATTATGACATAAACCATCTAAAAGGAGTACTTCACGATTACATGTAAACGATGATCCTTGAACTTGGTCGAATTTCATCATATGTAGATTACCAAGGAGAATGACCTACGGCAATACGGAGGAGCAGTTACGCATGATGAAGGTAAGACGGACGCCCCCATTTTCTGAATTTTTATATTCCGAGTCGCCATATAAGAGACAAAAAGAAACACGTCATAGAGGAAGTTGAAGCGATGAAACTCGCGGTCTAGTATTATCACCCGGTCGTTCCTGATTTTCGTTTCCCGTTCATAGTTGCACCCAAAACGAATTTGATTTGATTCCCCTGCTTGGTATCGAACTATTTCCTTTAATATTTTCCAAGACGGTTCTCCTTGTTTACATGACAACACCAGAGTTGGAAGCGATACGCTGTTGGGTAATTTCGTTAGTACGATTATTTGCGAGGGCACATAGTAGATGAGGTGCTTACAGGCCAGAGCTCAGCAGCCTCCTTTCCGACGGGGCCGGTGATGGCGGATCCCTTCATCTCACCCTTGGCGTTGACAATCTGTAGAAGGTTTATTAGCAACGTCGACTTTTCCTTCCAAATATCCTATGTCGAAATTGAACGGGAAATACGTACGACACCAGCGTTGTCCTCGAAGTAGAGGAAGATACCGTCGGGGCGTCTCCAGGGCTTGCTCTGACGGACGACAACGGCGGGCATGACCTTCTTACGGAGCTCGGGCTTTCCCTTCTTGACGGTGGCCATGACCATGTCACCGACACCAGCGGCAGGGAGACGGTTGAGGCGGGCACCGGTACCCTTAACGGAGATGATGTACAGGTTACGGGCACCGGAGTTGTCGCAGCAGTTCAGAACGGCGCCGCTGTAAGAGTAGACCAGTTAGTTTCCTGACCGTCGGGAGTTGATACTGATGGACGTAGGTGCATGTATGGGGTTTTCGTCACGCCACTGGGGGTTCATGATTCGAGACAGGATCGGCTTTCGACGTACCAAGGCAGACCGAGCGACATCTTGAGCTTGTTGCCCGAGGAACCACGACTGCAGAAAAGCGATTCGTTAGCATAATCCCATACTCATGTTCTGACCGTGAAAATGAAGAGTAAAAGAAGTTGGTTGGTTCTTCCAACTATCTCCGCAACCATAGTCTGAGTATCTCCCCGGTTTGTTCTTCTGATCATCATCATTCTTCTATTCCCTGTCCCCTGTGCGATCCTTCCTCCGTCGTTGCCCTTCTCTTTCTTCCTGATGATTGATTCACTTTGCCCCGTATACCTTTCCCACAAACCCGGTTCGATAAACTCAGACCATCATTGTAGACTCCCTCGCTCGTAGCCGAACAACGCAGAAAAAAAAGCCATCAAAAACTCACCCTCTTCCAGACATCTTGGCTGTGTATCACGTAAACGGTGTCGGATACTAGAAAATTGGCGAAGGAAGCGACGAAGGTCGACAGTATCAGGCGTCGTCGAGGGATTGCTCGGGTTTCCGAATTGCTTTCTCGCTTAGTGTGTCGTGGGTAAAATCTTGGCGCCTCGGTGCTATTGGCCCGTTGAGGGCCTAGGGTGAATTAGGGCTCAGTCTATACACTATCCCTCTTTAGGATTAGAGGGGTTGCATGGATTAGATAAGCTTAGTCCTAACCAACCAACTACTCCGGAGTACTCCGTAGTTACTAACTCTAGGATGCTCCAGACATACTCTACCAGTAATGCGCAGGGTCTCTGTAACCCGAGGTCTTGGAAATATGTATGAGTTTATTGAAGTCTTGGCCAATATATGCATTCGCGCATGATACATGAGTTAGGAAAAAGAAGTATTGCTGAAACTACAGAAAGAAAATAGAAAGACATGAGACATTGCAGAATACCCTCCTTCATGGATCCAGAAACCCTAACACCATATTGCCAGCCCTTGCGCCCGGAACCTGATAAACGCCTCTAAAAAGCGGAGACTATGCTTCGCTCTTGGTGGGCTCCTTCTCTTGAGGTTCGCCGGTTGATTCTTTTACTTCCTTGGGTGATTCCTGCTCTGCTTTGGCTGGCTCAGGCACATCTTCAGAAGCTTCTGGGCTCTTTTCTTTGGTCTCAGTGGTCTCCACTGTTTCCACTACCTCACTCGCCTCAGCTGACCTTGCATCCTCTACGGACTCCTTCTGAGGGGCCGGTGGATTGGCTGGAGAGGGCGGCTCCGTGGCAGGTTTGTCCGTAGCCGGAGTTTCTTCGGCGGGCTTCTCCTCTTCAGCCTGAGCCTCACTTGGCGCTGCTGATTGCTCCTGCTGCTCTGTTTCAGGTGCAGCGTCACCCACATCTTCCATGGTGGTATCCTCATCCTGTGCCTTGGGGGATGGCTGGCGAGAAACAGGCGCAGAGGGAACTGCTTGCTCTTGACCATCAATCGCCATCTCCGTCTGCTCTGCTGCAGACGCCTCATCAGCCTCGATGGTGGGTCGGCAACGGAAGGGGTTGCGGGTGCGTCGGTCTCTGTCTGTGGGGCATCTCCCATCTTCGCATCGGCAGTAGTATCCATGTCATCGTCAGGTACCGAAGAGGCTTCGGCGGGGGTCGCAATCCCGCTCTCAAGTCCCGATTCAACATCCAGGTTGCGATAGTTAACTTGGTTCCTCCGCTTCATTACGCCAGGTTGGCGGCGGACTCCATTGGCGGCGGACTCCTCTTCGTCCTCGCTATCACTAAGCTCACCCGGTTTCTCGACATATTGATCGAATCGCCTTTTGGTGAAACGCTTGTCCTTATTCTCGTCATCATCCAGGTCGTCCAAGATCGCATCCGCTTCATCATCCATGCCTTCCACAAGAGGGTCGCGTGGTACGTCCGTCATCTGTACGGAAGGCGCAAATGAAGTTCGCTTAAGGTTCTCGACAACTTGCACACGAATCTTATCTAGATACTCTTTTGTATTGGCATTGTCCATATTCGATGGCCGTACATCCAACTCATAATCCGGGGCAAAGTACTATTCAAGTTAGCAATTTCTGAAACGAACATATTCCAGGGAAACAATCTCACCTCGTAGTAATCATTATAGGGAAGGTCGGAGCCCAAAGGATCCCCAACAAGAATGCCAGTTTCGAATGCCCAGGTTCGCGCGACGTTGCGCATTGTGTAACCTCCTCCTCCAAGAATTAATGTGGGAAGATTGAAGCTCTTGATGAAGTTCACACAGTTGGCATGCCCTCTCATACTAAGGTTGAAGCACCCCAAACGGTCACCCGAAAGACTGTCACCACCGCATTGGAGAACCACTGCTTCTGGTCGGTACCATTCCATCACACTCTTGATGACAGGCTCAAAGATACTCTTGTAAGAAACGTCGTCGATACCATCGCGGAGTGGGAAGTTCACGGCATAATATTTACCCTGGCCAACACCGATATCGCGGAGCTCACCGGTTCCTGGGAAGTACTCTCCGTACTTGTGGAAAGAGACAGTCATAACACGATCTGTAGTGTAGAAGGCTTCTTCAACACCATCACCATGATGTACATCAATGTCGACGTACAGCACTCGTTGCTTGAAGCGCAATAACTCAAGAATGCCTAACACAATATCTATAAAGAACTCGTTAGTGAGTCTTCATAGTACAGCTAAAAACACGGTTCATCATTACCGTTCACGTAGCAAAAACCACTTGCTTCACTCTTCTTTGCATGGTGAAGACCACCAGCCCAGTTGACAGCAATGTCGCATTTATTGCGATTAAGCCGGGCTGCACCCTCCATACTTCCTCCCGCGCTAATTCCGCAAAATTCAAAAAGACCGTCGAAAACAGGGCAATCATCACCGACATTATACTTGCTTTGCTCCTTGGCGTAAGTGTCCATGTTATCCGGCGTTACTTTGGAAAGGAAGTCGATATATTCATCGGTGTGGAATTGGGTCATCTCGTATTTAGACGCTGGTTTTGCGCGCTATGAGATTTGCACGTTAGCAATGCCAACATCGTGCAGTAACAACTTGAGAGCGATCGCCACCCACATAAATTTCCATTTTCTTATAGAGACCATAGTTCATAACCAAGCTATGTGTCATCCTTATGCGATGAGGCTTCATTGGGTGTCCTGAGACGTAGGCATAGTTACCAACGTCGGAGTCGTAGAAATATGCGACCTTCTTGCCACGGTCTGACCCGTTGGCATTGATCGGGTCCAAGGGGGCTAAGGAAGTCATCTTGGATGACAATGTATAATAGAACACCGATAGCCTTCGCTCAAACGGGAATTAGGTGATGTATGCCTTAGGACACGGCGAATTCTCGGTTCTGCTGGTAATGTAAAAGGAAGATGTAGAGCACGATGGGCTAGAGCCAAGGGGGAGGGGTCCAGATGCTTGGTGATCAGGTCCTGGGTTTAGAGCGCCCTATCAAGTAAAGAGAGGAGGGAGAAAATAGCAGAATCAAGAGATTATGATAAGTGACTGGACCGCATTCCCATGGCCGGGGAGAATGAGGAACGAAGGTCGAAGCGAAGGGGAAAGAAAGGCGGGAACGCCAATTAACGGTCCAAAGCTGTGTCCACCGCCTTCGTCAGTCAGGCCTCTTGGAGCTCAACTGCGGCTTCACCTCCAACCATCATCTCTTATCACCTGCATCCCATTTCAATCCCCCTCATCTACTTTTCAGTTATTACTCTATTATCGCACTCTCTGCGAGCTCCCTCCTACGTTGCCATCCTTTGACATCCCGATCAACTCTTCGGTCTTTTGGGGCTTCCGTCTAGGAAGCTATCCTTCACCTTTGCACCTCCGCTAGTCATATTCCGTCAGCAGCTATGGAGCGACTTGGTCGGATGCTTCAGGCCGCCCAAAGTATGGGCATGGGCGGTGCTGCCCCCGGTGGTGTAAGTTGGGCCACGACATTATTTAATCACGGTTCTCCTAAGGCGGTTCTATCCGGGTACCTCATGTGGCGCTGTACTCGATTAGGACTCTCTATCCGAATTACACACCTATGAAGCTACCGTACTGATATGTTCTTTTTTAGGATACCCCTAACCTGATCGATAACTCCGAAACGGTACATATCTCATCGCTGGCTCTGCTGAAGATGTTGCGACATGGTCGGGCAGGTGTGCCTATGGAAGTCATGGGCCTGATGTTGGGAGAATTTGTGGATGAATATACAGTTCGAGTAGTAGATGTGTTCGCGATGCCTCAGAGCGGTACTGGTGTTAGTGTCGAAGCTGTGGACCCTGTCTTTCAGACCAAGATGATGGATATGCTCCGCCAAACAGGACGGTAAGCTTTGATTAGGTACTTCACCTTACCTGAAGCGATATTGATTCTTTGAATTATGCAGTCCAGAGACCGTTGTTGGCTGGTATCACTCTCACCCTGGTTTTGGTTGTTGGCTCTCATCTGTCGATATCAACACCCAGCAATCCTTCGAGCAGCTCACCCCGCGCGCTGTCGCCGTTGTCGTTGACCCTATCCAGTCCGTCAAGGGCAAAGTTGTTATTGATGCTTTCCGACTTATTCAGCCCCAGACTGTGGTTATGGGTCAGGAGCCTCGGCAAACAACATCCAATTTGGGTCACCTCAATAAGCCATCGATTCAAGCACTCATCCATGGCCTGAACAGGCACTACTACAGCATTGCTATCAACTACCGTAAGACAGGCTTGGAGGAGAACATGTTGATGAACCTGCATAAGCATGTTTGGACGGAAGCCTTGCAGATGAAGGATTTCCATGAAGAAGGCGAGCACAACGTCGACCGCATGAAGCAGCTCGTCAGCCTCGCCGAGGGCTATGAAAAAAGAGTTAAGGAAGAAACGGAACTCAGCAAGGAGCAGCTCAAGACGAGATATGTCGGAAAGGTTGATCCCAAGAAGCGTAAGTTATATTCGGAACTCCAGTTTTGTTCTCCTGATCAGTATTAACTTTTGCTATAGATATCGAGGATGTAAGCCAACAGTTGATTGAAGATAACATTGTTGCAGTCTCGCGGCAGATGATCGATAAGGAAGCCTCAGTTGCCAGGCAATCAAATGGAAAAGGGGCTCAGAACGGTGCCAGTATGGAGGTGGACGAAGACCTATAGATGATTAGCTAGTAATTATGAGGAGTATCATAATTTCTGTTCCTGTTACGAGGTACAGGACAGTAGTCCTGTCTCGCAAGAGCAGCCATCATGCACGGAAACAATTATAAATGAATGACGTTTCAACATATACTATTCGATCACTGCAAAACTACAATTCAGTCATGCTAGGTTCATTGCACCAACACAAATCCACATATAGATCAACAACCGTCCCTGGTCTTGGGTTGTCAGATCCAATAAACAGCAGGTAACTATTAAACTCTATATTCATGAATGTTTATGTACTACTCTATACTTTCAGTATCATCTAGAGATACATCAGGCTAAACAAAGAGACAGGTCATGGTGATCGTTAAGGCCCGAACAACGAATCAGTCTGAGGTGGGACATCATTGACTCGACCACGCTGCATCGACTTCAGCTCGTAAACCATGGGAATGTCCATGTCTTCCTCATCACAGTCTGTCCATCCGCGCTGGGGACCCCAAGCAATCTTCTTTTTGGCTGCTTTGGCTTCATGAAGTAGACGCTGCATCAACGCCCCGTTCTTGCGGACGGACGGCCACCCGTCAAACTCCACATATTCTAATCTTGGCATTTTGGCGAGAACATCGCGAAGTATTCCACCAGAAAATTCAGTGTAGAAGTTCTTAGAAATCCGGAAGCCTTCAAACACCGGATGTGAAGGGTCGACCTCAATAAACACTTTTAATGTCTCGGCACGAACCATTTCTTCTAGGCCAAGGCGGCGGTTGACTTTCCAAGAGCTGGGAGGTGCTGTCCAGCTGGACCCCAGGATTAATTCGATAGTAGCGATGGAGGGCCGGTATCTAGGCGGTATCATACTGATTGTTGGCATTCGAGAGTAGTCCTGCAAGGGGAAGAGACGGAACGTCTGAGTGGTATAGAAGTAGTCGGAGGCCTCATCGTGCACACGTCGGGATACAAGGAAGAGGTTGATACGGTGAGATGTCGGAGATAGTGGTGGATTTTTCTTCGAGGCTCCCACACTGCCCTTGGTGTGCAGATGCGCTCGCTTTCGGCGAGGGGTAAAGAGAAGGATGTGATATATGCGCAAACGTAACTCGGATGGAAGGTCGAAGAAGGGAAACGGATTCAACGGCGCCGTGGCTTCTATATATTCTTCGTTTTCCTCGTTCTCAGCCTCTCGTAGCTCGATCTTATCTGATTTCGGCGGTAGATTCTCGAGGTGTACCTTTTCCAGGGCCTCTGATATGGAATCCATAATGGCTGAAGATCGGATCTAAATGGAAAAAAAAATAAAAATGAAAAGAAAAATACGGAGAGAGATATTCTATTGGAAAGAAGTCTTTATTTCATAAGGTGCTTTCTCATGCCATTGTTGCAGTTAACAGTTAACTGAACTTGCGAATTAACACAGTACACTTTTTTTTTGCAAGGTGGGTAGCGAACATCAAACCACCATTTATATAGAGAACAATTTGTATCCCACCAACGGGGCTGCAGCTGCACAGATATCCTTCGCTGCGGCTCTTGGGTGCAGGATAGAAGCAAAACTTCTTTTGTCTCCCCAGCTAATACAACCCGTCATGCATCGAGAGGCTTGTTGGGTCAAATTTACCGACTGGGTTTCAACTTTCATAACTTGGAGAAGAAAAGAAAAAGAAAAGGGAGAAACCGGCAGAAGGTGGAAGATTTTATAGGGAGCGCTGCGCGGTGGGGACTTGCCGCTCGCCGTACCTCCGACAGCGCAACTTTTCCGAAGCTCTGTCACTCGACCGGTTATCCTCTGGACTTCGACAGACGGACTCTCAGACTGTCAACGTACTCTCGCGCATTTGTTGGATCGGTCTGGTGTCAGATCCTGTTATAACTCCCGCTCAAGCTGCCTACCTTGTGCAGAGCATGAGTACATTGTTAGATTTTGCCTATCCTTAATTACATCACACTTTCTTCTTTTCCACTATGCTGAGCCGTGCACTATTGCCTCTGACGAGGCCCAACACTCTCGCCTCTACGGTTCGTTTATCCGCCTTGCCAATTACCCACTCTCGGTGGTACGCAAAGAACAATAAACCCAAGGCTCCTTATAAGCTGCCCGAATCTGTCAAGCCTCCCAAAGCCGACCAGTCTACGCAGCCTTCACAACAAGAGTATTCGGCCTCTCAAGCTGAATTCGACACCAATGCGGATGCACAGAGAAACACAGCAAACCAGACTGCCGAATCTGTGAGTAAATCGTCCTGACTATGGAGTTCGATTTCCATAGCTGACTGATTCGACAAGGCTGAATTTAGCCAGACGGCGGCCGAACAAGCTGCGCCTCAAAAACCACTTCCCGATCTCACACAGGGCATTCCCTCTACCCTTGCCGCGGAATTAGAAGCTCGCTCGAAAGGTCGTGGACCGACTGCGCTGAATCTCACCGAAGACCCTTCCCGCTCCGAAGACTACACGGATGATGGTCACGGCGGCGATATTCCCAAGGATGGTTATGTTTCGTCTCTTGATCGCCGAAGGGCCCGGATGGCCAACCTCATGTATGCCCTTTTCCTACTTGCGGGCGCAGGTGGTGTTGCCTATCTGGGACGGAACTGGGAGACTGAAGAGGAGGAGAGACTTCATCCGGATGTCCCTTCGGGATGGAATTTTGGACTTTGGTACAACCGCGTCAAGGCTCGCTTTGGCGATATTACCAGCTACTACAAAGATCCCGCTTTCCCGAAGCTGCTCCCTGATGAAGACCCCAATCTCCGCCAGCCTTACACTCTGGTGCTGAGCTTGGAAGATTTGCTTGTGCACAGTGAATGGAGCCGTGAACACGGATGGCGCGTTGCCAAGCGACCTGGAGTCGATTATTTCCTTCGCTACCTCAACCAATACTATGAACTTGTTCTTTTCACCAGCGTTCCGAGCATGATGGCCGACCAGGTACTTCGCAAGCTCGATCCTTTCCGCATCATCCGCTGGCCACTGTTCAGGGAAGCCACTAGATACAAGGATGGAGAGTATATCAAGGTATGTCTTGTCAAACAGGGGATGAAAATACATCGTACACCCACTGACCGCACCTATATAGGATCTTTCCTACCTCAACCGTGACATGTCCAAGGTTATCTTGATCGACACCAAGGAGGAACACGCCCGCCTGCAACCTGAAAACGCTATCATCCTCAACAAGTGGCACGGCGAATCCAAGGACAAGACTTTGGTTGCTTTGATTCCTTTGCTTGAATACATTGCCGGTATGGGAGTGGAAGACGTACGTCCTGTCCTAAAGTCGTTTGAGGGCACCGATATCCCTGTTGAGTTCGCCAAGCGCGAGAAGGCCATGCGTGAGCGGTTCCAGAAGGAGCTGGGCGAGGAACAGCAGAAGCGGCCTAAGGTCAGCATGGGTAGCTTGGCCTCTGCTTTTGGCTTGAAATCCACCCGAACCTTGGACGGCGAAGCGACCCCATCTGAGGGTCTCGCCCAGGGTAAGATGCTCTGGGATCAGATCCGTGAGCGAGGCCAGAAGAACTACGAGATGATGGAGAAGGAGATCCGTGAGAACGGTGAGAAGTGGCTGGCCGAGATGGCTGCTGAAGAGGAGAAGGCTCGGCAGGAGCAGATGAACCAGATGAAGGGCTCTTTCACCAGCATGTTCGGTGCTGGCAAGCAGTAATTGTTTTCCTGGGGATTATGGCGCCTGGCGGTCAATTGGAAGCAACTCTCTTCTCCCGATTGGATCTTTTAATGTGTACCTGAGGTGCTTTTTTTTCTGGGGGCGGGGTTATGATTAGAGGTTCTCCTTTTTTGGCTCCTGGGCATCATCATGGGTTGTATGTAAAATAGCATTTGGTTCATTATATGTCTTCTGTATAAATGAGATTACAAGTTTAATGTCTTTAAATTCAAGTTTTTGTTTTCGAGATATAGAAGTACATGCACTAGACACCATATTTACGTCGAAAACCAACATATATATAAGATTCATATTGGGTATAATTGTAAGAGAATTGCTCCCGGTTCGTCTCCAACATGCTACATCATGGTAAATTCACGTCCTGGAAAACAGAGACATCCCAGATACCCGTCATATCAAACGGGAAACCATCCATCGTACCAAAAGTCCCCGAGATGGACATCATATCGTCAACAATATCATTATTCGTCTGCGTTTCGGGAAGCGAAATTGCAGCCGGGTTCACCAGGCGATTATCAGGCTGCACAACACCACTGAAGTTGAGGTCAGGGGTGCTTCCGTTGCCAGGGAGTCTGTTGAGGATCCGATCGCAGTGGTCCAGGCACATGTCCGCTACATCCCAGTCTTCCTCTTCTCGGACGCGGCGTAATATACTCCGGAACATCTCCACGTTGTTGATACAGGAGCGAGCTACGTCCGTGTCTGTGGTTTCCAGCGCGCAGCGGACGAGAAGAGTGGCGGTGGATGTGAGATGGAAGGCGCTGTCTGTGGCAGAGTTAGATATTGAAACCAAAGGATCTTATGGGTTCTAAGGGGCTATCTCATACAAGGCAACCAGAACTCCTGGAAGTTCTCTTTCCGAAGTGAGGAGATAAATTGAACGATTTCTTCAGCGGAGCGTCGGCATTCCGTTTGGAAGTAGCGCCGTGCCTCTGGGTTATCGGTATCTGCACTATTGACCTCCTATGGTTGACCTGTTAGGAATGCATTTGAAGTTGCGCAGTGTTAGAGACTAACTTTCAGTTCCACTCTGCTTACAAGCATCTTGACGGCCAGGAAAGCCAGCTGCAAGCTACATGTCCCAGAGATACGTTCCTCCGTGCTAGTACTTGCTGGTGACTTCAGCCAGTCAGGAAGAGAATCCTCCCACATGTCGAGATCAGTTCTGATCTGTCGTAATCTCTTGGAAGTCTCGCGGGAAACTCGGTGTTGCAAGCCGTATACAAGTGGCATGAGCTCACCAAGGATCTCTGTCAAGCGACACAGCGCAATGTGGCAGTGAGCGGCCCTCACGCGTTCATTGGTGCGACCATTCGGCGACAGTAAACCGTCGACTGTAGGGAGTGGGACATCGTATTGATTCTTGGCAATTTGGGGAGGTACACCGTGACCAAAGCTCCCCCTTTCAACCGAGTCAGCGACAATAAGAGACCGTACATAAAGGGACTCACCAGCGATCATGTATCACCACACCCCACCATAATCGTATACGATGATCTTTCTCCCTCTGAGAGACCTTCCAGTGGCTGGGGTCTCGATTCAGGCCAAGGCAGTGAGCGAGAGATATCATTCGACCGCAACTGATAGCATTGCCGGTCATGGAGAATATTGGCCGCCCGGTTAGATCAATCAGAGCACAGCTTATTGTCGACAAGCCCGGGGCAGAGAACTCCTCGTGGAGGGCGGCCACGGTCATGTTGACTGCATATCGGACATCCGGTTTGGGGTGGCTGGCAAGCTTCGGCACATGTTTCCAGTAGACAAGCGACATGGAATAGACCTGACATATCAGAGACGCAGGTGGTTCCCCTGGGACTTCCGACATGTATGCCTCCCAAAAGCTGTCGCCATCAAAGATTGGGAATGCTACATTGAACCTGTCTATAAAACTGCAGATAGGAATCAGTACTCAGTTGTGTCAAGAGACGATCGAAAGCGTACAGCCTAACTAGATCATGCCTGAATGGCCCGAGTATCTGTTCGAGAACTTCTTTCTGGTTCTCTCCCGGTGGGATGCCAACTCGCATGCCCTGCCTCCGCCTAGAGATAGTTGTATAGAGGATGGGTTTTCTCGGATCGTTTGAGTAAACATTGTACGGATGGCTGTTAGGGTCCTCGTTCGTGTTGGAATGCTCTGGCGGCATAAACTTCTCGATTACCTGTGCATCATCTGCAACAACGGGACCAACGATATGAACAGATTCATTGTGAGGATCTTCAACTCCTTGTCGTCGGGTTTCGCTTCCGCGGCTGTCCACTACGGAACTCGCGCGGGGTAGGGTGGAGGTACTTTCTCGTGGACGACTGGGAGGCGAATCGCTGTGGGGGGTACGCTTGCGCTTCTGGCCAGAGGGCAAGCTTTCACTGGTATTATCGACGGACCATCTCTTAGGGTCGGGGCCATTAGCAATGGACGTATCGTGATTGGATTCTTCTTGGTAATGACAATCTGCTCCCTGGACTCGGCATAGGAGACATGACTGGCCTGGGATATCCACCGTGCATCGGGACTTGCGCTTTCTACACAAGTCACAAGCCCGAACTTTGTGAGATCTGTATGGTCTTGCGCCGGCGTTAAATCCCGGAGTCACAAGCTTTTGAGTAGCAGAACTACTCTGAGCAGTCGCAGGTGGCATGACGATTCTCAAATGGGCTGCTTATTGACCCGGGACGGCGACTGTTAGCCTTGAAGGCCCAATTGAGAGTCGCGTGCGCGCGCCAACGAACTTATCCGAGGTTGTCAAGGAATTGGCGCTTGCGGTGCAGGCGGAGAGGCAGATACTGTAAGGGCTGGCACACGTATCGAGTTTGGGTCATGAAAACCGACTAGCGCACGGTCAATGCAAGCGACATTGAACCAGATGATGTTAGTCGCGAAGTCGCACAGAGGCCGTCATAGTCCACACGACTGTTCTGTGACTCAATCCGAAGGGGTAAATCAAGACATCTCTGAAGTGACAAATCGCGGAGGTCTGCTTAGCTTTTCTCCTCCTAGACGAAGTTCCCATTTCTTATCGGAAAGTGTGGGGAAGCTGAGTCAGCCCTCAGGACCAACCACGTGCCTTGGACGTGGCTCTCTATTTATATCCCATGCCTTGGGAAATGCAGTATATCGTATGGCTTCTTCCCCGCGATCGTGCCCGGTTGCTCGTTTCTCGTTGTTGTCTGGGGCATCGGGGATCTTACTGAGGGAGATCCACATTTCTGCACATCATTAATTCGAAACGTTTGAGCCAAGTCTGCGTCTCATCCCATGTACGTGCTGGCACCAGATCATCGTTGCATTGGCGTTGGGAGACACAGCCACCGGGCCGCTAAAGCTGGCGCCTCCGTCCTTCCACAAGCGCTCCGGTTGATTCTCCAAACTTTGCCCCTTTACTGCCTAGAAAACCCCCGTGGCGATGTGCAATTGAATCCGATAGTGTATTCTTTCCAGCAAATGTAGACTTTTATGAATCGATGGCCATGGAGGAGGATGTTCGGCTGCCCAGTGCAGAGCGGCTCGATGGTCCTCATCACGACCCTGAGCAGCTACCGAGTACAGGCTCCGGCCAACAACAGAACGGCTCGCTTGAAAAGAGCCAATCGCGGTCAGGTGAGCTGATCTCATCTCTCTTCAACAGTTTACCTCGCATGGTAATTGAGCAGTAAGTTATAACTTTCCTCTCGGCCCCAACAGCTACTGTGGCGCCCTTTGCGCCCGCTTGTCCTTGAAGATAAGAACTGTTTTAACCGGCTATGCAGCATCCTTTATGTTGTCGACGCAAACACGTTTGCGTCTCTAGCCTTTTTGAACCGAAAATGGAGGCGGATCTCAGATTCGCCCCTTTTATACACTCACCATCTATCTCGTTGCCCATCCTTCTCCTTGACAGCAAAAGCTACTTCAGATGTAGTCACTTCAGATGACCTCGCTATCCTGAAGCTGAAGTTTGGGGCAGAAATAAGACGCAATGCCTTCGAGGTCTTCCTTAGACCCCGCCAAACCTTGGTGAAGCTTATTTCAACATCAATGAGTTCTTCGACAGCTTTCCCCCACGGAGAGGCTTTTCGTTTTGCTTTTTCACCCAGCGCTCAATTAGTACTTTGCATAAGCTCTTCGAGGATCATTGTTCTCGACGTGGCATCTGGCTCAGCTGTAGTGAGACATGAACTCAAAACCTGGAGACGTCCGCTGAACGCTACCATCCTGGATGATGGTTCGCTTCTTGCTGTGGTGTCGTCTAGCCATCAAGTCAACATATACAGTTTATCTAACGAAGAAGCAAGGCACGTTCAAAATATCAAGTTGAATGATGTCCCACAGGCTCTAGCATTGTCTCCAACAGGCGGTGTTCTTGCCATCGCGTATACCGATAGGATCGAAGTATACGCAATTGGAGAAGGAACACTTGCGACCGAGCGAAGAGCCGTCCGCTGTGCTGGCGTGGATTCGATTGCGTTTTCATCAGACGGGGTCATGCTTCTCGGTTCGTCTGGCGATAGCCAGAATACCAGTCTGGTGACTATCACGGTACCGTTCTACACAGAGCCTGTTACCGATATCTCGGCAAGAGAGGCCCACACACGCATGTGGACCACTCAGATTCTATTTCCTGAGGTTATACAAAGCTATAGCCACGCTTGTCTTCTTCCACTACATACCGAAGGTGATGGCAGTTGGATTTTGGGTTTTGATAAAGAGGCCGCCGCATTCAGGGCGATTGGGGCCAACAATGTGAATTCCGGTACAGTATATTTCGTGAGTCCGACGTCTGGAAATGGACTGCAGGAGTCTCCGCCAGTCATGCTGCCGACGGTTGATTGTACTGGAGAGCTTGCCGCCCTAAGTTTCCAAGATTCCGGTCTCTGGGTATATGGTATACCGGACCGCCTTGATATTGCACCATCAAGTACCTTTGCAGCCGCACTTTGTGCTTCGGACAATGGTCCAAGTCACCGACTGGACGAGATGATGCCCCTACCAGATAATGCACAGCGACTGCAACACTCTATCGCCAAGCCGAAGATGCTTATCAGGGGTCATAAGATGAGCGATATGCCTGGGATTACTGCAGCTTGCTGGGTACGACCTGCCGGCGCTCCGGCTGACCATCGTAGGCTGGTGGCTGTGGCACCCGGCGGCATTAGCCCTCCAACAATTGGCGAAGAAGATGTTCCGGTTGATGGCGGACGAGTGCTACTTTTAGATTTCGAGCGATCACCAAAAGATGGGAATTCCACTGAAATTAGCATCGAAATTGGCGAGACGGAGCCGAAGATGCTCCACGAACCAAATACCAGCTTGGACACAGAGGTTGAGCTGGAAAGAAGACGAACGCGCTTGCATCGTGGCAATTCTTCCTACCGGGCCAGAACTGTTGCTCGTGAATCGTACCCAGCAGCTATTTCCATGAGCCAATCACCACCGTTGATCATTCGTCGAAATAGTTCTTACTTCTCTGTTTCCTCGAATGATATGGGTGATGGTGATACACCTCCGGTTCCAGACACTCCCTACGACAACACCCAGCCGCGTTCCCGAGATACACTGCGTCGTGCTGCCACCGCAGCGGCGACCAGTCGCACACGGTACAACCCACGATATCGTGACGAGCCACGGCGTGTTTTTGAGACGAGACCGGTTCCTCCGATCTTCCAGGTTCCTCATGAAAGTGACGCCGACAACTGGATTCCCCCTCCTCCTCCCTACACTCGTGAGCCCGACGCACCGCTTCCGGAGTACCTTAGAAGAACCCTTCTTCCCACGAGAACCGAACCTGCACAAAGGGCCAGCGATGTACCGGATGAACTTCAAAGGTCTCATACTACTCGCCTAGAGGGCATGGCCGAGGAGCCTTTGCCTCGGACTCCTCTACAAAGACTGAATACCATCAGTGGATCTAGATTAGCCTCTCTGGTGCGAAGAACAACCAGAGCTTCAGAGGCTCCTGGCCTTAGCCGAACACAAAGCAATTTGGTCCGACGAGGAGCCTCGTACTCTCAGGATGGGGAGGTGCCTAGCGTGCCGTCGGTGCCCCTGCATATACAACCGCAGACCACAGCCTCTTCTCAAGAGGTTGATCAAAACACAGTAGGGGCCCTTGACGCAACGAATCTCCATTACACTGCAGCTACGACGGTGACGACATTGCCAGCTCCTGTGCAGCAAACATCGCTCCAAGAGACTCAAACTGAGTCCGTGGTGAGCCCAGGAGAACTTCTAGAATGGCAAGATGCTGTACCTGAGATTCCAGATATGCTGCCTAATCTCAATCATCCGTATTCCCTCTCATCACCCAACCTACAATTTCCAGACCCCCAGTACGCCTCTCTGGATGTCCCACGCGATTCATGGCTACGTACCGGGTACCATAGATCGATGGGCCGGCGCCCGCAGTCGCAAGACATTCGTCAGGAGTCGCCAGCTATACCACCTCTTAATCGCCGGGCATCCACTGACCCTACACTCTCCACGAGCTCCCAACCGTCGAACGACCTCTGGAGGAGGCGTATAGAGGAATGGAACGAACGCACCATTTACGAAAGAAATAGAAAAAGACATAAATGCATAGTGATGTAGCTGGCATTGCCATTGAATGGCTTTCCCTCAGCAATTGGTCTCGGTGTTTTCTTCCTCTTTCCATTTTCTCTCTCTGTCTCTCTTCGTACCACTTCATTTAGATATACCCAGTTAAACTGAATCAAGGCGTACAGCGCTGATCAGTCGCATATGGCTGCTGTGCAGCACACGAGACTAAACATGTTTACTAAAAGTCAGCCTTTACAAGGAAACGTTGAATTACTTCGGATGACTTATGTTGTTTATCTGACCATTGCTACCGTAACGGGTCTCTGTGCACAAATAGCAGGATGGAAGCCCAACCATGATACCTGATTAGTGCCGACCCTTTCAAACGTTGTTGTTCTCTCCTTTGCCCAGAGCCTTGTCCAAGGTCGCCTTGGCGTTCTCGGCAGCAGAGGCAGCCTGTTCTTTGCCCTTGTTCAAAGCATCGTTTGCGGTCTCGCCTGGCTTTTCTACTCCGTATGAGCATCATATAGCGGAGTAGAGCAGAACAAAGCTCAAGTTTTAAATCCGTTACTTACCGTAGACTGTGTATTCATTAGTTAAATTGTCTCTATACACCAAGCAGAATCCTTAGAATTGTACATACATTTACTGATTTGATCCTTCGCGGATTCTGTGGTGTCGTTGAAGCCCTTCTTGAGCTTATTAATGTCCATTGTGTTTTCTCTTGCAATTGTGGCCTGTCAATTTACCATTAGAACTGCATGTATGACTAGGTGAGTCACATACCGACTGAAGGAATATACTCGAGAACAGAAGATACGTATGTACGTGCAAAAATAAACCAGATATGGAAGAGTTTCTACCCAGGTACCCGAAGGTTTATATATCCAGTGGACCAGACAAGAGCAACCAGCATAACCTAATGGTTACGTATATAACTTCCGTCGACACAACTCCGCGACATCGTAACCGTGGAATGGCATACTTTCCCCAAGGGTTGCACTTCTAGTTGATTTCCGAATGCAGCAATAGCTGCACTCAACAATGGATCGGCCTTTGGGCCTTGGCGACCATTGCCGGCTGTTATTGGCCATGGTTGCGTGAATAGGTAGGTTAGTAGTGTTGCAGATGCATCTCGCATAGATGACGCTTTTCACTATTTCTTACCACCCTCTAGGGGATTTCGTCAGATCTTGAAGTTTGCCCTGAGTGATGCTGGAGATTGATACCTGGGTCTTGTTCAGGTTTAGTGGCACCCTGATTGGGTTTGGCGGCCCGTGCCTTTCGCTTATCGGGGACTTGGTTCATCGATGGATACATTGATACGTATCGGAGAATTTCTTACCATATACTAGTACTAGTCAGAACTTCAGTCTCTACGAAACTCAAGTGAATTTGGTATCCACTCTACATACGGTTCAAACTGAATTTATACTACGGTGATTACTGGAGGTGCACTCTGATTCTGCAGATGAGCAAATGGGATATATATGTTACGACTTCCAGTCCAAGCAGTTGGGTATACAATTATCACACTTTCTTGGGTCATCTCTTGGTCATAACCCCAGCCGAGGTTGAAACCCAGATATGGCTGGGATACTCTCAAGTATAGAGGTGACGCTTCAGTCTTCGGCGAAGTTTTGCAGACTTGTTGGTGATGGGACGATTCCGGTCCATTAGGTATGCGTTTCTTTTCATCGATCTGAGATGGTATTGCTCTGGATAGAGCATCTTGGTTGCCTGATTCGGATGTTATTCTTAAGTTTCGTTAGTTACGCAAATAAGAGCCTCTTTCTCCAGTAATCATTGTTCAAAATCATATTAATTCATGGTATCGAGTATAAAGTTCACAAGCAACGAATTCCAAACACGCTTGAGCTACACAATCATAATTTGGAAGCAAGGATACAGGCTTCGAATCTCTTCAGCAACCCCCTCCGCCACAGCCTCCTCCTCCTCCCCCGCCACCACAACCTCCGCCTCCGCCTCCCCCACTGCTACTCCCGCCGCACCCTGCACTACCACCTGATCCACACCCGCCTGCTGCTCCGCCCCCCCCGCCAGCACATCCACCGCCGCATCCCCCTCCCATCCCACCACAGCCGCCTGCCGCAACACTGCCTCCACAGGTTCCCACGGCACAGTTGCCATGGGCCCCGGAGACGAAGCTCATGCAGCCTGGATTTGAAGCATATGCATTGGAGTGCACGCAGGGGTCAGCCACATACGGGGCGTAGCATGGCACATATATTGGATAACCGTATACCATGGGAAGGGCATGAAGACTGGCGTCTGAAGCACGGTCCTGTTCCTTGTTGCCTTGTTTGCGATCTCGCTTCTCTGCACGACGGCGTGACTTTTGGTAGTTGCTTTGAAGTTTCAAGTGCTTCACATATCGAGGATTAAAGCCGGACCGTGTCTTCTTTGTTTCCGCTGGGACAGCACTGTGCGCGGAGATATGGGGGTTCTTGTCCGGATTCGAAGATATATCTGGCCGATTGTGGAGATTGGCGGCCGCTTCGCGAGCTCGGGAGGTTGACTGGGAGATAAAGATGCCGTCGCTGAGATCCGGAGCTCGGATAGCCTCACAGTACCAGCAAGTGCACTCGCTGTAGATATCACCTTTGGTGAGCTTCTTGTACATTTTGCTAGTCCACTCGAATCCATCCGACAGTTTAGTTTCTTCGACTTTATCGTCATGATCAATAAAATTCGGAACCCTGGTGTGTTGCCGTGTTGTGAAGATGGAATAGTCAAAGTACCTTGAAGGCGACAGTTGATGGGTATGCCAGGCAAGATCGACATCCAGAGTTGGGACAGCCATGTTGCGTGGGTTTTGTGCCATGATTTGGAAGAAAACTTCATATTTTCTGATCAAACGGTCCATGGTGGCCTTCACTGTAGGCGAGTGAAGCCAATCAATGTTGTCCATCTTTTGAACAAAAGTTCCTTGTCGAATGACAGCACCAACCAGGTCTAGCGCGAAGGGACTATGATTATCCCAATAGCGAGCCATCATCCGACGGAATGCCACCTTCTCTTCTGGCCATAATGAGTAAAAGCCTGAATCTGGGTTGACCTTTCGCATGATGTCCCGGCTCATGATGCTGGACTGTAGCCTGTTGCGTAACGCCGCCATTGTCCTGCAGTCATTGTCCGTTGGGTCAGTCTGCGAAAGGAGAACGGTCCCTATCGCCTTGATTAAGCGATTGGGGAATATGGACTGCCTCTTCTTTCGACTCGAGACAGAGACAGCTTTTGGCACGCCCCTGATATCATAGAACGTCCCCGGCATCGGCACGTCCGAGGCCCAAAAAGCCCTAACATCTTTCCGAAACTTCTCGATCTTTAGGCTCTCGTGTGTGACTTGGAAGTTACAGACCGGACATGTCGTTTGGAAATTTTTATCAGCGAAGCCCCGGCAATTGTTAAATGCTTCATCGAGTGGGTAAGACATCCGAGCTTCGGTCCAGGGCACGGACAGCTCGTGCTTACAGCTAGGACAACCGAGGGGCTTCTTGGATGAACACTTTAGATTGTCCCAGGGCAGACCGGTTTTCTGCTGAAAGCGGGCTACCGCTGCCTGCCCAGCGTTGTATTCTATGGTTTGATCGTCGATGCAGGAGTTGATAATTTCCCAAGGGAAACCAGCTGTCCAGAAGCCCATGGCACCTCCTCGAATGCAATCTTCAAGAAAGGCCCTAGGGTTCAGCATATGTGCGTGCCACACCATTAGAATATCTGATGGGGAAGTCTGTCAGCAACTTGCAATAGTTTATGAAGGCCGCTTCAAGGCTTCACTCACCTAGAGGGGGCATTGCCTTTGGAGACCAGTAGAACGTCTTGTGCTCGGTAATTGAGTCATAACTGCCGTCCTGCAGGTCACGGCGCTTGGGACATCGCCTAGGGGATTGAATACATTTCTGCCACCAAGTCGTGTAGCGGTCGGCTGCCCTGGCTGTGTACACAGCCCATCGCTTTTCTTTGACACGAGCAAATGCCTCATGTGTAGTAGCTCCAAACACATCTGGGTCAGGATCATTGATATTGAATAGACCCTTGATGTTAGTTAAGTTGTCGCGTAGATCGGCGAGTGCTGCTAAGAACTTCAGATGAGCAATACATTGGTCTTGGGTGACTGTCGAACAAACAGGCGGTCCAGCTGTTTTGAACAAGTCCAACGGCGGTATTACTAGGGGAGGCTCATCAATCTGACCGTACGATGGAGGTTCAACTTCCGCGGCGTCTTCTGTGAGCTTTTCGAAAGGAGACGATTTCATCTTGTTAAAACGACTGAAGATTCATATACTAGAGATATCATATTGCAAAAGAACAGATAGGCATTCGATCAGCATTGAAGGAGCCGAGCTGCTTTATACGTAATATTTACACTCATATATAAGAACCCTGTGATGTAAGATGATGGCTTGGTGATGCGTCGCCGGGCAAACAGTGAAATGGGGGCGATGATCCATGGACGAGCGAATAGAGATTAAGGATGCCAACATGGAGGGTTGTGAAGAACACTTCTGCATCCACGGAGAGACATTGTTTCTAGAAGTCGGGCAACCCACTAGTGTAGCATTACAGCACTGACCACCAAGCTTTTCTTTCCCTGACCAGCAGCCATTGGGATGGTCTCCTGGCGGCAGTGCAAGGCTTAATGCTCATCATGGGGCAATGAGCGACACAGCCTCGGGAATACGATGTGTAGTGCTTTCGGGGGTGGGTGATCCCTAGCAAATCTGGTAGCATTTGACGACAATACGAAGCGGTTCTTAGCGTCGGCTAACCTGCAAGCCCTTTTCTTTGTTCTAGCGGCTTTCCACCATGACATCGAAATGTGCGATAAGATCTCCAGAGATGCGGAATGGAGGATCTACAATGCGATGAGGCGGAGGAATGCGGCTCATATGCTCTTTCACATGAAATGCATTTGCCAAGCCACTTCGACTATGACAGGTAGATAAGAAAAATCAGGAGTGCCGTAGTAGAGTACTACCAGACAGCACGCTGGATCTTCGCGGGTAGAACATGAACCAAGGAACTGCCAGGCTATATCTCCCTGTTATTAAGCCTCCGTTATCATCACGTGCGCCGGGGAACCACGTGAGAGCGAGATCGGACAGCTTCTCAATCGCCTCCCCCCACTGTTGTTACTCATCCATCGCTGAGGGGATCTGATCATCCAGTCAACCGAGTTGGCGAACGGTAGTTTGAATAGTCCATATTACTATTTGCTGTGACATTTATTCCCTGTATCATTAGCCTATTGTTTTATTTTTTATCTGTCCCTCGTGGGCTTGTGTGCAAACTGTGTGGTGACAGGCCACGCCAAACCTTTTTTTTTTTTTTTTTTTTTTTTTTTTTTTCTGCCGTCCGAGCTTTATCGGTCGACTCGCCCGCAACCAGCCTGGCGTCATTCGGAGCACTACCCAGCGGAATCGGAGGCGGCAGCCTGCAGGGGGAAATTCTGGAGCCAAGTGCAGGGAATAATGCTCCTGCTGCCACCAGTCCCGTAATGGGAGGTGTCAGCCATCCATCTGCTTCGGCTACTGGCGGGCCCGATGGCGTGGGACCAGCCAGGAAGCGCACTGTCGCCATGGCGGGGTTAGACAGTTCTCCTGGCAGCGTGGATGACGTGGAAGAGAGCGAGCTTCGTGAGGAGAAGAAAAGGCAGCCTGTGAAGCGTGCCTGTAACGAATGTCGTCAGCAGAAGGTGAGCACCTGAACCATCCAAGACTATACTGTTGCCCTCACAGGTCAGACTAATCCATACTTCGTTACGGCAGTTGCGCTGCGATGTAGTTCAAGACCCATGGATGGACTGCTCCCGTTGCCGTCGCTTGAAACTTGACTGCAAAATCGAATCCAACTTCAAGAGAGTCGGGAAGCGCAGTCGCAATGCGGAGATGGAAAGGGAGATCATCGAGCTGAGGAAGCAGATTGCCAACGTCCAGGCGAATTCTGCCACGTCCATGCCCCAACAACCACCGTCTATACAATCTGCCCAACACACTCCCAAACAGGAACCTTCTAGCCATGTTAGTCCGGCTGGCGTTTATCACACGCCCTCGGGCATGTCTGCCGATCAGTATATGGGCTCTCACGAAGCAGTCGCATCGCTTTTAGACCTACGTTCGGGCTTCGATGGTTCTAACTATATGAGGAACGGGAGCCACAACTTCAAGCGGATCGAAGATGTCGTCGTTGTACCGGAGAGGGTGACAGAATTATTTGATCTGTAAGTCTCGGTTTAGATATGGTGTCTTGGGGATATGTCCTAATGCTGCCAGGTATTTTACGTTTTATCATCCTTTTCTTCCATTCCTCGAACGAGGACAGTCGCCCGATGAATATTACAATGCCTCACCTTTACTTTTTTGGACTATTATTAGCGTTGGAGCACGGCGTTATCAGCCTGATACGCACCTTTTGAACTCCCTCGCAGGCCCCGTTTCGCGACTGGTATGGAGTACGCTGGCAGACATTCCACAAAGCTATCATGTCGTGAAAGCTCTCTGCTTGCTTTGTACCTGGCCCTTCCCCACGAGCAGCACCTCCACCGATCCCACCTTTATGCTTTGTGGAATGATGATGCAGGTGGCCATGCAGCTCGGTCTACATCGTCCGTCATATGCTCAAGATTTCAGTAAATTCAGAGTGGAGCTTATTGAAGATGAGCTGAAAGATAAAGTGAGGACGTGGGCGATCTGCAATATTGTTGCTCAACGGTATGTCTTCACTCATTGTTCTAAATCTCTGGGGTCATCTTTATCCTGACAGGCGCCATCTAGGGTTGCGACCGGGTACGGGCAGCCACCGTCTACTTTGTATGACTGGACACTTTCGAGCGAGTCGCTGGACCCAAACTACAAGTTGCCGGAAGGTATCCGTGCGCGCCTTCAGATTGAAAAGCTCTGTGACAAGGTCACCAGAGCACTCTATATCAACCACCGGGACCCTGTTGGGCTGTGTAATGACCAGGAACGATCGACGCTGATCTCATTCTTTGCTCGGGATTTCGATGAACTCGAGTCGCAGTTGAAGGTTCAGAATGATTGTGAGCCTTACCCATGGATACTTGATTGAGAAACATACTAATCTGCCCAGGTATCACCGATCTTTATCTTCGCGCTGCCAACCTGCACCTACATTTGTCGGTCTTTTTCGACGATACTACTGAAAAGGACTACCGTGATCGTCTTCTTTCTTTGTATGTTGCAACCAGAACATTCCTGGAGGCTGCTATGAACCTGGAAACGGAGGTTGGGCCGGTACTCTCTTACACGCCGTATTACATCTACCAGATGCTGGTAGCCGCAGGCTGTACGCTACTGAAGCTTGGCACGAGCTTCTTTGCGGCTCATATAAATATGGATTATACCAAGACTCTTTTCAACCGGACTATTTGGGCTATCCGGGGAGTATCAGTGTCTAGTAATGATCTACCGGAGCGGCTTGCCGAAGTTCTAGCCCAGATGTGGAGGTTGCAGAATACGCCAACCCCCAAACCGTCCACCGACAGCTCCGAGATGGACGATTCCTTGATGCTGAAAGTCCGGTGTCGCATGAGTATGTCGCTTCTTTTCGACTCGGTGTGGCGATGGCGGGAAGACGCGCGGACGAAAGATCGAAACCTCGAAGGTATGTTTGCTTCAAGCGTAGACGCGCTATGTACCTAGGGACTAATCAGAAATGCAGCCTATCTTAAGAACCCGACGAACCCAGATTCTAACGCCGAGTCTTCCGCAGCGTCATCCGTTGGAGCTGCACATACTTCCAACTCGACTCCTGGTATTGGTGGAGATCCTAGCCTGGCACCTGCACCTATGCTTCCGCAAGCCACCTTGGGTGTCCAGTCTGGTAGCAGCGTCCCGGGTCTCCCAAGCGGGCTTATGGAGCCCAATTACGAAGTTTTTGACCCATTGAACTGGCTGCTGGATGGTTTGGTCGATTTACCATACTCATATTCTACGATTTCAGGGATGGAGGCTCAAGGTATTGCATAGCCTTGCCCTACAATGTTTTGTTTTGCTACCGTATTACGATTTCTGGCGTTTTAAGGCTGGCTTACTGCATATCCTGCGTGTATTTGTATATATACCCGAGGAGTCTGGTTGAACTATTTGAATAATGCATTACTACTCTTCGAGACTACATACCTGGACGATTTTCAGATGATAACATTTCATGAAGACACGATTATCAAGATTTGGCGGTTGAATGAGAGATGTCCAACGTAGCTGTATGCAAGATCGCAAGCAGTACATTCACGCTACGACACGTTTGGTTGGATCTGATAGCAGTCCCAATTACTGATTAGAGAGACACCTCTATTAATGCCATGTCTTATCAAGTACAATCCAGCTTATCCACGTTGGCCGATCCGCACCTCCCGTCAAGACTTCACTAGCAGCTCTTCAGTGAGGCTTAGCCAAGGTACTAAAAGCACTAATTCTTAGCGGAGGGTCTGAGATCCAAAGTAGCAAATGCACGATAATACGAGTGGGCTATCTATATGCATGATTGCTACCTTACCTTGCCTTTAATATAACTCCACCGGTAGTTCTAACGAACTAGTGCTTATTCCGTAGTTCAAAGAAAACATCATATAAGTCCCAATCCTACCCAGCCTATACTTAGCCTCTCTTCCCCGACATCCACCTGAAACAACAAGCATGCAACGCGGAACATCTCCCCTAACACCCGAGTTCGACGATCTCGTCAACGCCCTCCTCGCCGAATGGCACGTCCCCGGCACATCAATCGCCGTCATCAATGGACCGGACACATTCTCCAAGGTAGATAAAAAATCCTCAACCGCTATATACATCAATCAACCCACCTAATCAAACAACCACATAAAACCCCAGGGCTACGGCATATCCAAATACCCCAACACGCCGGCCACCCCGCAAACCCTCTACTACACAGCCAGCACCACCAAATCCTTCACAGCAGCAGCCCTATCCCTCCTCATTGACGACGACGACGACGCCGCCACCAACACCACCCAATCTCCCACCCAAGAGTCCCAGCCCCTAACCTGGACAACGCCCCTCTCATCCCTCATCCGCTCCGACTTTGTTCTCCCAGACGCCTATGCCACTGAACACATCACCCTCGAAGATGCCCTCGCCCACCGAACAGGCCTCCCAGAGCACTCCTACCATTTCCGACCCGACAACTCAGCAACCCCCAAAGACGAGGTCAGAAGACTCCGCCATCTCCCCATGACAGCCGCCATCCGCACGAAATACATGTACAACAGTTTCATGTACACGGCTGTTTCGCACGCGATCGAAACCCTCACCGGCCGTGACTTGGGTGTCTTCCTCCGGGAAAGAATCTGGGATCCGCTCCACATGGATGCGACCTATTGGACGCTCCGTGATGCGGTGGCTGGTAGTCGGCCGGATGAGCTGGCTGGGGCGTATGTCTGGGATGTCTCTTCTTCTTCTTCTTCTTCTTCTTCTTCTTCTTCTTCTTCTTCTTCTTCTTCTTCTTCTTCTTCTTCTTCTTCTTCTTCTTCTTCTGGTTCTTCCTCGGGATTCGTCGAGATCGACCACCCCGAGTACGCGGAGTTGTCAGGAGCCGGGTGCATGATTAGCAGTGTAGTAGACTATGCGAAGTGGCTCCGCTGCATGATGGCACAGAGCGGGCCGCTAAGCAGGGCGGGACATGCCGCGCTGGTGGAGCCGCGGATTGTGTCCATGACCGGGGCGACGAATCTGTTCCCCGGGCCGCATTTGTACGCGCTCGGGTGGCGGGTGGATTACTACCGGGGGGAGAAGATTGTGTGGCACACAGGGAGCATTGGGGGGTTTGGGTCTCTGATGATGTTTCTCCCGGGGCGGGACTGGGGATTGGTTGCTATGGGCAATTCGACGGTGACGAGTAACCAGATGCAGCAGGTCTTGTATATGTATTTGCTGGATGGGTTGTTGGGGACGCCGGTGGGCGAGCGGGTGGATTGGGGGGCGGTTATTAGGGAGAAGAAGGAGAGGCGGCGGGAGGAGTTGGCTTGCGCGAGAGAACGGCTTTATCCGGACTTGCCTTGTCCTGTTTTGAGGCCCGCGTTGGAGGTTAGGGAGTATACTGGGGGTTATTGGCATCCTGCGTATGGGGCTATGGATTTGGTGCTTGATGCTGGGGGGAAGGGGCTCGTTGCGGATCGCCGGAGTCAGGAGTTTAGTATGATGATTGCGATGGAGCATGTTAGTGGGGAGTTTTGGTTGGCGAGGTTGCAGGAGAAGCACAAGGATCCTCGCGATTATGAAGTTGTTCGCGCCGAGTTCAGACTTGGTCCGGAGGGCGTGAGGGAAGTTGGTGTCGATCTGGAGCCGACGATGGATGGGGAGTTGGTCTGGTTTCGGAGGGTGAATTGATCCTCTACGTTATTTATTGGTGTCTGTCTGAATCAGAGGGTAATATATCAGGAAGAGCAGTACGTAGGTCATCTTAAACATTGTAAGTAACAGATGCCCTTACTGACACTATCTAATCGGCACAATGTACCATGTTGAATGGCCAGAAAACTAGATTGTAAACGAGGGTCGAGCATGAGCCATGTTGGATGGCGTCAGGCAGAATGATTCCAAGGGAGCAGCTCCCTATACCACTGATGTTGCACGTAGAAGATGTCAATAGTCGCTTCCACGGCTGACCACCTCCTTACACGACTCTCGCAACAATATAGTCTGCAAAGCACGATTAGCTCTGGCTCCGCATCGCAGTAGGAGAGCATACTCACATGTTCAAATTGTGCCGAGTATGATCCCTTCACATCCATAAGAGGCGCATATTGCTCCACAATCCCATTGTTTACAAGACTGTTCATCTGTTCCGGAATTAGCACACTTTCCGATCGGCAGGCTGATGAATACGTACACCGGCCAAGTAGCGCTCAACTCCAAGTCGTTCAAGGTAACGGCGACAGAAGACAATCGAGCCGAAATTGTCATTGATCGTCTTGTACAGAGATCTGGCCGAGGCGAGAGGGGACGTCACCCTCTTCGGTGCGTTCGGGTCTTTTCCATACCCATAGACACCAAACTAGCATGTTTGTGAGCACCTACACTGATCTCAAGCAAGCAAAGGGGAAACATACGCCATCCACTGTAGAGCCACGGCCCGTCGAGCCAAACGTTTCGATGGCAAAAATCTCCCCCTCTTCCATCTTCGTTTGGCTGGAATTTCTCACAAATGGGATTGACTTCCCACCGTGAATTTGATAGCGTTTGATGTCATGCCCGCTAAGATCTCGCACCGGTTTCACAGGGAACACTTTGCCGCCGATTTCGACCTCATAGCTTTCCATCGCCTCCTGGATGGCAGCACTGACGTCGCTGATACGGACATCGACTCCAGCATTCTGAAAAGCGTTAGCTGCGCCATAACCTGTGAGATACCAGGGCTCTTTCCTACCTTGATACCAGTGTTCGTAGCATCCTTAACCGCGGCAAGTAGGTTGTCGTAAGTTGGGTCAAACGACATTGTGAACGCACTGTCCACTATCCAGCCATTGATATGGACACCAAAGTCCACCTTCATCACATCGCTTGCTTGCAAGACGATGTCCTTTTGGCCCGGGTTAGGCGTGTAATGCGCCACACAATCGTTCAAAGCGAGTCCCGTGGGGAATCCCAATCCTGACTGGAGACACTGCCCAGTCTCGAGGCCAGCATTGCCCAGTAGCGCTCTCACGCCATCCTCAATGCCGACGGCAATCTCCGTGAGAGTCTGGCCAGGCCGAACGTTCTCCTGAGTCCAGTGTCGGACCTGACGATGTATCTCTGCTGCTTTGCGATAATCGCTGAGGACACTGTCATCCTGGAGATGATTCCGAGCCAGGTATCGGGCTTCCTCGGTCGTTGTGCGAGCCGTGCCCTCGACCACGGGTCCATACTCGTGGATCTCGCCGACTGGGAACTGGCCCGTGGGGAAAAGGTCACTCAACGGGACCCGTGGCGGCGAGGACTGCTTTAACGCTGAGGTTTTCTTCTTGGGCTTTCTTCGTTTCTTCTTCTTGCTGGTCGTTTCCGACGAAGGTTGTTGTTCGGTCAGTGAGGTGGTGGCAACGGCGCCAGCCTTATCGTCTCCGTCGGCACCGTCGTCCCCATCGCCATCCCCCAAACTGCCGTCGCCGTCCCGGGACAGATGAGCGCCTCGCGGCTCTCCGCCAGCAGAATTGGAACTGATTGAGTTGGACGGATCATCTGCAAGGAATGAATAAGCACAACTCTTACTAAGATGGTGGAATAAGGTTAATCCATACTACCATCTCTCTGGCCCTCGCCTTCAAATGTTTTGGAGCCCATCTCGACATGAAGAATTGGATCTGGAAAACACCCGTGAGTTGGTTGCAGTTGATGAGAAGTGGCGTGGTGCAAGTTTCAGTTGTCAATTGCTACACGAGCTAAGCTGACGCCCCGCTAGTTCCTGTTTGGGCATAGTGCTTACCTGCCTTGACAGCGACCAGTCTTGACTCTGATAACCCGGAGTATATAGATTACTTACTTCCTCCCTGTCTGTCACCAGGTGACACCCACTGTACAATAGCATATACCTAGTCTCAGATTGATGTATATATAGAATGGCTTTCCAAACCACACGGCCGTCTTCCACACTTCTAGTCCCCTCCAGACGGCCTCTTGCCGTCCCCAACAACCCCACCCTCTCCAACACGACCGCTACGGACCCGCCGATACATATTCATTTAACACCAAGTTCTATGTCCACGTCGACAGTCGCGGAATCCAAATCCAAATCCAAGTCTGTCTCTGAGAATCAGCATGTGGAGCTAAAGTCTCGGCCCACGACTGTCGAGTATGATTTCTCGTCTGGCCCGCAGCCGTTCTTGGATCCGGGGTTGTGGGAGAACGTGAAGGCGGTGGATCGGCTGCGGAAGGAGGGTGAAGGGGCCGGAGAGGGAGATGTTTACGTTAAAGAGAAGGAGGAGGGCTTGCGGAGGAAGAGGGAGAGGGAGGCGGAGTTTGGTGAGATGGCTGTTCGGGGGAGGATGGGGAGGTGGAAGTGATTCCATTTTCTTTTTCTTCATTTTTATATCTAGTATCTCCTTGTCCGGTCATGTTTCTTTTAATATAAAGGTTTACGCGTTTCAGGGACCTGAGTCAGTATATATGTTATGATTGTGTATTGTTATCTTGTATTTCTCGTAATGGGCAAATTTATAATCTCATCAAAGTAGGCGTATGATACAGAGAGAACACACATCATGCGAAATGCCACCGCGCCCGAACAATCATCGTGCTGGATCTCGTGTTCCGTGGGTCCATCATTCGTGACTCGTCAAGCATCAATATAGTTGCAACAGAAAGATAAACATCTTAAAGGAAATAACAAATAAAGCACAAGAGAAGAAACAGAGATCGTTCATGCATGATCGTCATTCATCATATTGGTCGTGTCGTGCTGGGCTTACTCGAGCACCGTCGATCATATCGTAAAAGTTATTGCACCATACTTCGCGTCTGCGTGCTGGAGTCCACGAGGACTGCTTCACCAATGCTCTGCTTCAGCGCCTCGCGTCGGGCTTCTCGCTTGCCCTCGGCACGCTGCTGCCAGCTGCGTCTCAAACGCTTACGGAAGCTGCGCACGGAACCAAACCGAAGCCGTAATCGCCACCATGAGAGAGAGCGATATCGTCGCTGGTGAAGAGAAGTCTGTGAATACAACGCCTCAGGCATGAATACTCGACTGCCCACGAGACTGTCCCGGGCCTGGCGACGGGAAGCCGCCTCATCGGAAGACCGTTTCGTGTCAATGCTGCGAGGAGAAATGGGAGGCCCTTGAAACACAACCCGCTGTTGAGGCATCCCCAAGGAGTTGCTAATGACCTGGTCGGCCCCCAACGTGGGAGGACGAAAAGTCTGTTCGCGAGGGGACTGGTCTTCGGATTCCGATGTATCTTCCCAGAACCGACGAGGCCTCCAGAACGGGTGGAGTTTGCCGTCAATATCTTTCCCCGCCATGCGGTTTTTCGCCGACGTTACCGAGAATGATCGGGCGATGGAGTTAAAGGAATCAGAACGAGGTCGGAGCTTCCAAGGGCGTCGAACCGACCCGAATCGGCGAGAGGGCTGCTCACCCGTCTCCCCATTTCCCGTGCCTCTTTCAGGCTCACGATCTGCCTCATTCACCGGGGTGGGTGGACTGATCTTACACACGGGGGGATTTGGGGGCTGGCGCGGATTCTGCAGTGGGGAGTCTACCTCACCCTGTTCTGGGCTTTGAGGGAATTCTGGCTTTGCCGGACTGCCTTGGAATTCTACCCGAATTGCTAGCCCTTGAGGTCCAGATCGGTGCTGCGGGTCGACCAGCAGTAGAGATTCATTGTTGTGTGGAAAAAAAGGCACCAGGGTAGCTTCACTAATCTCCACTAATCCTGGCGATGACGACGGGATTGATCCTAGCGTGAAAGCCCCTGACGGTGAGCGTAGATGGGCCATATCCTCTACCCCGATAAGAATGGACTGCGTCTTCAGCACATCGGCCCGGTCACGTACTTGTGGTGCTTTCATAGGCTCAGGCATCGGTGGCTCCGGCTGCTGGTTTTCCTTTTCGTTCTCCACCGCCGATGGATAATTTCGCGAGCTCATTGATGTAAGGGACGTGGCTCGGGAGTTGTTCTGGCTGGTCGGCGCGGATAATGACGAGCTACGTGGAGGGATAATGGGCCGACCAATGCTGCGACCCCTGGAGTCTGTGTCCTGATGGGAGGGCGCACTGGAATTTGACAAAGTACGTCTCTTTTGGGGTGGACGATCAAGCGACTCCGGTCTGCTCCCCGATCTTGTCCGTGTTCGGCGGCTCGATGGCTGAGAGCTGGCATTGGATGGCTTTCTGCTGGTCGAGGCCGAGGATTTCAAAGATGAATGCCGCTCCGGAATCACCACGACCGGAACGACCTCCACCTGCTGCCGAAGGCCACCCTGGGTTGAGCTTTCAGAGATGGACATCTCCGATGCGATACTTCTGCGATCATTTTCTGAGATACGAGCAGCCTTGTGGATCAAGCGGTGCTGCGAATCTGGGTTCGAGACTAAGGATCCACGCTCTGACCTGGTGATAGGAGAGCTGGTCGAACGCAGCGAAACCCTCTTCTCTGTATGACGAAGGGAGGGTTTATACGGCTCGGGTGTGTCAACAATCATCACTTCGATTGTGGAGGAAGTGGATACACCCGAGAATCGGCGAGAATCATCGTGGGTGTAGGGATCCGTTCGGCCCTCCGGGGGACTCCAGTCAATCTTTTCAGAATACTGTTCTGGATATGGACTGGCGCCGGTGTCCTGCGCATCTCGGACTCGAACGCGTATGTTCCTTTCACGTGTTCGTGGGACATCCAAGTCGCGCGCACTCGTGCTACATGTATTCTGAGGCTGTTCCGGCGCGTTTGCGGTAGGAAGAGCATCGGAGGAATGGTTCCTTGAGCGCCTACGCCTCTGACGCGACGCAGCAAACCTGTCGGTGTTCTCCGTTGCCCATTCCCCGTTAATACCTTCGTACCGGGATGGCTTTAGTAAGATGGCATCGGATTCGTCAACGACAGGTGTGGTATCTTCCGGTCTGGCATTCTTGGGTTCTGATTGAACACTCTTTTGCAGTGACCTCTGCCTGGTCGACTGACGCGACGATGGGGACGATCGGTGAGGGGTCTCAGTCTCACCGTCGGAGATCATTTCGCATGCTGTTTGGAAAGACTCCGCACGCGACGAGGAAGAAGCCTGCCGGAATTGACTGCCAAATCCAGGTCGATACGTCGTGGCAGGAAGTCGAGGCGGCGTGGTTTCGGGGGTTGGTGGGTGCGATGGTTTTGAAGGTGTCGCTGTTCCAGACATGGAGTGCGGCGAGGCGAGCTTTTGTAATTCCAGCTCTTTTGGCGTTGGGGATTCATCTGGAGGAACACCGGGCGGTGTTAAAGGAAGAGCGGGCGCCGTTGCGTGAGCACCGCCATTTGAAGTGTCAACGATGGGGTCAGATGGAGACGCGTGGATGACATGTACACTTGGATCGCCATTTGGCCTTCGGGGAAGTGACTTGTGGGCCCTGAATAGCGGCCGGCCCAAGTGCTCTAGTGAGGCGGGAGACGTGCCAGCAATGCCGGGCATGTTGACCGAAGAGCCCAACTGCACCGTCAGCCGGAAATCACAACGTTTGTTGGTCACCGGATTGTTGGCAAAACTGGAATACTATTACCAAACTATGGGGCCGCTGGGGGGTATTCTCATGATACCAAGACTATTTCGAATAAGATTGGTCCAGGAGGGTTAATGCTGGCGTCGCATAGCGAAAGCAAGGCGATCTGATCCGTAGGGTCGAGTTCCGACACTACGATCCAACCGAAGGCAACAACAATGTGAAGAAAAAGAAGAAAATAAAAAAAATGAAGAGAGAGAGAGAGAGAGAGAGAGAGAGAGAGAGAGAGAGAGAGAG